ATTAAAATAAGTTAAGGTTAGGTTAGGGTTTAGGTTAGGTTTAGGTTGGGGTTAGGGTGAGGGTTAGTATTAGGGTTAGGGTTTAGTTTTGCGTTAGGATAGTTTTTTCTACGTTATAAAAACGGAAACCTTATTTTGAAGTATACTATCTAGCGATCACCGAAATGAAATATGTACGATTGTCTATGATTACGATTAGCATTTCGGCTATAGAGCAAATTTACATGTGAATAAATTATGATCATAGTTAATAGAATAGATGGTTTGGAAACTCGTTAGTATAGCAATATAACTCATTATCTATGTTAGTCAACGTTTATTCATAAATCTGGTTCTTCACCGTCACGTGCGTATTGTATTTTTGCCCAACTGACCAATAGCAATGTTTTAGGAAAGTTATACCTATCCGTGACTCGAACAATAGGGTGATTGAAAATTGCTATTGGTGGATTTGGTAAGAATACAATACACACGTGACGGTGAAGGAACATATTTATGAATAAACGTTAACATCGATAATGAGTTATATTGTTATTCTAATGAGTTTCCAAACCATCTATTCTATTAACTATGATATGATCAAATGCATTGTACATCAAGTATTATGTGCTTACCTAATTACATACTTGGCCTAGACTATTTTATCTTTATAACAATTGTGATATTATTTTCTTAACTGTGTTTATCCTAACCCACCCTGTCAACTTTCCCTATGGGAGCACCCGGAGAAACCCACGACCTTCGGAAGAGCCGGTTGACAGACTCTTTTCACATGAGTCCGTAGCGAGAATCGAAGCCACGGAACTCAAGAGGTGAAAGGCAAAGTTTTCTCTGACCACTGCGTCACAGAATAAGGTACACAGAAGGTCGACTCGAGTAACGCTGCCACGCCATGATTCATCATCAAAATGCTGACGCTATGGTCCTAGCCAGTGCGGGTTTGAGAGGCATTCCCCCCCCTGGACATCCGCCATTTTGAATAATAGCAGGGGGGTGAATGCCTCTCAAACGTGCACTGGCTAGGACCATGGCGTCAGCATTTGATAACGAATTACGGGTTACGCCAAAATCATAGCAAAATCATAGGAAAAACAAAGAAGTCGGCCTTCTGTGTACCTTATTCTGTGACTGCGCCACCGAAATACGTTATCTGTCAAACTAATATGGAAACCTAGATGAATTTGAGTCGATCTACGTTTGTACCTTTACCGTTAGTTTATGATAAATTGCTAAAAAACACTTTTGTTTTAATTAACCTCCCTTCTAATTACTTTTCTAGGGTGTTGTTAAATATCTCAGTCATTTTACAAAATTGCGCTCACTTGGTTTAATTAGCGGACGGAAAAAGGTAGATATTTTGTACCACTGAAAAATAATGCATTCACTTATAAAAAGAGATTTTACTTTAACGAGATTTCATTCTTATTTTAGAAATGGATACGCGAGGGACTGTATGAACCGGTTGATATCGTGGTTGCTACACCACATGTACTACTTCAGTATTTACAAAAAGGTGCACTGGTCACTGAGTTTCACATTCTATCATTGTCCGCCTTAAAGTTTGTTCAACTCTTAAAAACTCGATATAATTCACGAGGGAAAGACAAAGGAAATCACTATACCGTATCGGTGGTTTTCTATGTGATAAAAAATCATGTTAATTTACATAAACTTTAGCTTTGATTTTCTCGGCTTGGACAACGTTGAGTTTTAAAATTACTTCGCCAATAGACCTTTCCCCTTTTAAGTGAAATTTTGATCTAGACAAGTCTGGACAAACATTTCATCACAGCTTGAAAGAGCATCACAAAATTAGTAATATTCCGAAGTTTCGTTGCGAAATGTTGTAAAATGCGGATAATATAGCCTTGCGAAGTTTGCCGTTTTTCAGTCATTTTGTATATTACAAATGGGAAATTGATAATCAGATGATCAAACTGATTATCAATTTCCCGTTTGTAATACCAAATGACTGAAAAACGGCATTTCACAACATTTCGCAACGAAACTTCGGAATATTACTAATTTTGTGATGCTCTTTCAAGCTGTGATGAAATTTTTGTCCAGACTTGTCTAGATCATGCAAAATTTCACCTAAAAGGGGAAAGGTCTATTAACTCATAAGATGGGTCGTTTTTTTAAGCCATTTAAAACACTCTATCAAATATAAGACACTTGGCTGTCGCCTCATGTTTATATCTGATAAGAACTTCGTATTTGAAATAGTACGTATTTTTATTTTAGGTGATGTTTTTCTGTCCGACTTGTCTCATCTTGCCATCGATGAAGCGGACACGATGTTTGATCCAAGTTTTGTCTCCATGGCGGTGGAAATTTTAAAATATGCTGGAGTATGTAGTAGTTTTGAAATACTACAAGAAAGAATAATAATGTGATAACTGTAGCTAAATAATGCGGATGAATCTACTTCTATCTCATCCTAACCAGTGATCCCAACCACCCTGTCAACATTCTAAACATGCATGGAATACCTGGAAAAAACCCACGACTTTCGGTACACGAGTAAAAATGTCACAGCCTGCAACAAGATATGTTCGCACTGCTTGTTCCCAGTTGTCGACAAGTCTGGATATAAAGCTGTTATCATCTTGTAACAAGGTTGATAAGACCAACAGACTCGCAACAAGTTGTTCCAACAAGTCTGATATCGTCATTGTGTCTCAACGAAAACCTATTCTTTATATTTTCAGTTAAAATTCTGGTCAGAATCGGAACACCCTATACAGACAACGTTTGTTACAACGACAGTACCACACGGAATGCTTAAAATGCTGAACAACATGATTCCTGTGAGTACAGAGCAGTGATGTCTAGTGAAGTAGTGTTGTTGGTTTGACTGTATTCATGTTTTTTTTTGTAGAACTTATCAATCTGCAATTCTGGCTTACATCAAGTTCTCCCGCACGTCTCACAAAAATTTGTAAAAGTTTCTCAGCACAAGAAAAGCGGTAAGAGCTTTACTGGTGTGCCTTGAGAAATCAGTTCTAGCAGGGGAACCCGGAGATATTCTAGTAACTGAAATAAGAAATTTGTTTTGTGAATCTTATGTCCTGTCTTTTATCTTATACATGTCTTTTTAAAAATGCTAAACGGGGTAGAGAAGACTCTGAAAATGCCATTTCCGACGATTTAGAAACTCACAATTTTCAAAATTTTGCGTCTGGGGGTGGAAAAATACAAACATAACCCCCCACGGACGAATTCTTAAAAAAAGCCCTGCAGCCAATCACACGAAATATATTCAAAATAATTACTGTAAACTTATAAAAATGTTTGTTTTTCTCTAGGGTTATTACTCGACATAGTCTCACGAGAACTAAGACAAGAACAAAGTAAACAAATGATGGTTTTCTGCAACACAACAAAAAGCTGCGACTGGACGTCTTACTTTCTGGAAGAACAAGGAATATCACAGATACGACTGAATGGAAACATGCCTAAAAAGGTAGGAATTAGAGGTACACAAGGGAGTCCCTAGACTTGCCACAAGTCGACCATGGGGGAGGGAGCGAAGCGCGCCATAGAAGGGTCTGGAAAGGACTTTGGAAAGTCTAGGGAGTCCCAAGCACATGATAGAATTAAGATGTGTGACAGTTAAAGTCATTCAAGTGTGTTTGATAAATTGCAGGAGCGGAGATTGCATCTTGAACGTTTTAAAGAGAAACAAGCTCCTGTTCTTGTTTGTACAGATGTCGCTTCAAGAGGACTGGACACCACTAATGTAAGTGGACAGGCAATGTGAACGACCAGAGGTGAAAGACTAAGCAAGGCCAAACAAAACTGGATCGATAAGGGATGACCCAGCCTAGAACCTTTACAGTCTTCTGTCTTCTCACGTAAAAGGCCTTAAGCCCTGGGCAAACTAGGAAACACTGTTGCGGAAACATTGTTTCCTACCAATGTTTCGCCATGTTTCCCAGAGTGGGCAAACACTAGGAAACATTAGTGAGAAACATAGGGAAACATCAAATGTTTCTGAAGTTTGTAGGAAACATTTTTGCTTCCCGGGAAGCAAATTTTGTTCCCGCAACAATGTTTCCACGGGTGGGCAAACATGGAAACATTCGAGGAAACATCGAGAATCGCAAATGTTTCCGCAACAAAGTTTCCTAGTTTGCCCAGGGCTTTAGGCTGGGGATGACCTTAATTGGACCTCCATGGAGAACAGTGTAGAACTGATAGAGCTGTCCAGGCAGTATGAATAAACTATATTGCTGTTGCATGGAAACTTTAAATTATACTGACTGTGGCTCAGTTGCTTGAGCCTCAACTGAATGAAAATAGCAAATTCACATGCTTTATCTCAACTGTAGGTTTTTCACGTGATTAACTTCGACTTTCCTGTGGGTGTTGTGGATTACATACATCGTGCTGGACGTACGGGAAGACTGGGAACGACGCTGATGTCATCGCCTCAAGTGACCAGTTTTCTTAGTCATAATAGAGAACTTGTAATCATGGAGCAAATTAAGGTAGAGTCTTTTGCAAATACAGTCGAACCAGTGAAACGAATATAACTGGAACGCTACCTCATATGAAGCCAAACTTGGAGGCCAGTCCCAGTCTTTTCATGCATGCGAAGATCATGCTATAAACACGTGGGTCTTGACCTATGGTCTTGACCCCCAAACACGCGTGTCTGGCAGCTTATCTGAAGGTGGCATTCTAGTTATATTCATTTCAATGAGTCGAACATAATACAGATACAGGTACTTGTAGGAACCGTATAACATGAATATTTTCAGGGATGGATTTACTGGGGGGGGGGGTGTGTATTTTTCATGATAAAGCAGAAAAAATATTAGAGATAAAATGAGATACAGTAATTTGAGTAATAGCATGATAAGTGAACTGTGAACAATTTCAATTCAAATACAGTAGTCAAGCAAGACTTTGCAGTAGTCAAGCAAGTTGATGGGCAGAACACCCCCCACCCCCTACCAGATCATGCTGGATCCATCCCTGAATATTTTATATTTATTTAGAAAGCGATGCAACAGAAAATACCTTTGGAAGACGCCAGTCTATGGCAGACAGAAAAACGAACGAAATGAGGGAAACAAATGTGAAATGATGTCATGAAGTTTTAACTTAAAAAGAAATAAAAATAATACAATAAAAATTTTATTATTTTCCTAGTTATAAAAATACAAAATAATTTACACTACCTGAAGTATATATATAATATATTACTATGCTTTACAAAAATCACCTTAAGTTTATACAATTTCATTATTTCACCAAATCCTACAATAATTCATATCATCTCTCTAATTGCACTACATACAAATAATTTTCTATCATTTTCTAATTTATTTGACAATGTACCACGTGGCCAATCCGACTTCTGTGAAGTTCTTATCCAGTTTTCAACAAGTTTTTATCCAGTTTTCAACATGTTTCAATCAATTTTTCAGACGCACAATATTTTCAAGACCAGGTTGATGGATTTTTTATATGGACACTTTGTCATTTGCATAAGACTAGTGAAAATAATTAAAATAAAATCAATTAGTCTGAGCCATAATGTACTCTGATGTGCCCCCATGTGTGCCCCATGGTTGTCAATTTACCTTATCAAGAGACAAATTTTATTACTGAACAAATGATAATTTACCTTTAAGGATATAATCTGTTAAAAGGGTTGGAACGTTAGGACTATTTGTTCTCATTGCATCCATAACTAATAAAAACAAACATGAAAATATCATCAAACTTTGCCCAGTAAACTGAAAATTATACATATACAGTATTTGTAAACATGGTGCACATACTTTCAATGAGCTTCTTCAAAATATCAGTACTTGGGCCATCATTTGTAATTTCATATGGTATTGTAGTTAAGCTCTAAAGAAAGAGTAGTGTCGATAGCCAAGTGTCTTATATCTGAGATAAAGCACGGACTACCAAGTGTTTAAATGGTTTAAAAAATTACCCATCTTATGAGTTCATTGGCACAGTAATTATAAAAATCAAAGTTAAAGTTTATGTAAATCAAGGGAAATCTCTATCACACATAAAGATACGACACGCTTATGATTTTTCTTTGTGTTTTCCTCATGAATTATTAATGATTTTTGAATGTCAAATACAAACCTGACTGTTTGGGGGATTATTCAACTGCAACGAAAATTTCTTTTTATTTTGTGCTGCAGTAGTTTCTCTTAGTTTTTCTTGCACTGATAAAAAGCTTGATATGAAATCATTTTTAAGTTCTTTCTCTCGTATGTAAGCATCACGGTTTTCCAGCTCTACAACAAGAATATCTGAGTATTGTTTGGTATAGCCCTTCAGTTCATCTCGAAGACGGAGAATTTCATGATACGGGAGGCAAAGCAATTCTACAGAATAATAACATTTAACAGTTTTTAGTTAAAAATTATACTTCATTGAGTGCTATTTAAAGATAAATATAAAAGACTTCATATATGACTTTCAAACAAGACATAACAAAGAATAAAATATACAGTATTGAGTGCAATATATGTTGGCATTAAGTTATTAACCTATTAAGCTTTAATGACATTTAATGTGCCCAAATGAGCCCTACATTGCTATTTTATCCTGTCAAACTCCAGATAATTTTACTCATCAAGAGTAGAGTCTTTCACATTAAATAATGATTAAAGGGTCAACCAGACTAACTCCCCCCCATGTCTCTTGTTAACCATTAAGCTTCAATGCAGCTGTTTTAAAGTTTTGATATTTAACTCAAGCAATGAATGCGATGCTAGTTAAAATTAGTAAGCCAATCGAATGATTGGATTACAATCAATTCAAATGTTCTTGTAGCCCAAAATTTCATTAATGTTCTTGACGAAAATGAAAGTTTCATGTGAGAATAAACATTGTTTTCATCTGTAATCTGCGAGTGTTACATTACCTGCAGTTGCTTCGTTCTTATTTATTCCTGAAGATGACAAAGATGTATTGCCTAACGAAGTATCATCCTTTACATCATTATCTGACCACTCTAACTCTGCACCAAGATCTTCAAAATCACCATCTAACGACCTCGCCAACTCATCTTTAGCTGTACTTGTTAAATCAAGTGACTTCATAGTGTCTCTATGTTTAGTTCCATTTCTATTTACAAGTTCATTATCTGACTCTGTACTAACAAGTTCGTTTGTTCTATTAGGTTCTTGATTAGTTGATAAAATTCCATGAAAATTGAAAAAATCTCTACATGAATTATCAAAGGCTATTTGTGGCTGTTCTCTTTCATTCTACAATAGATAACAAAAAATGACATTTAATAATACAATGTATAGCCGTGTAACTTGACTATGTCAATCTTGTTAAACGAGGTACAGATGTGTGTTCACCACTGGTGTTCACCGAGCTGTTTCGTCATGTCAATGCACTCCAGCTTTCTATAATCTATTCTGCAGCTTAGGGGCAGCAGCATTAAAATAGTGAGGGGGTGAGGGGCAGAATTTTAAAGGTGCTCTACAGTCCGTATGTAAACAAAGCCTTTGTTTACATTTTTGTGTCCAAAATATTGAGCTTTATTCGACAACTATTTATATTTTCAAGCTTCTACAGTATAATAAATGATCAAGAAACAATAATCAGGCTTTTCAAGAACCCAAAACATAGCTAAACTGTTTGTATCATAAAAAGTGGGTTCCTTTGTGCACATGCACAGATCGGACTGTAGATCACCTTTAAAGGTATATTTATTTTCTTCTCTCTGCAAATTTTTCTTCCTTCTTGTTTTCCTTTGTGTGACAGTTATTCTTTTCATAATTCACAGTTAATATTCTTTTCATAATAAACATAACGGACTTACTTTAATCACCAAATATTGTAATAACAGTCAATTATATTTGTTTTTACGGCGGTCCGGTGTCTGGCAATTTGGAGGTCAATTTACATTCCATGTTTATTTCAAGTTTTCAACTTTTATAAATAAACAACAAAATATATAAACTTCCTTTTGTATTTAAGGTCTTACTTACTATATCCTTTGAAATCTGTAAAGATCGACAGTAGCACTCTTCTAAACAGGAACCAGGCCATTTTGCCTGACGAACTGCGTTCAGATTTGAAATGAGTTTCACCCAAATCCTGTCAATCGAAACAGACACAACAATCAAATCAGATGAATTGCTGAACAATAAAAAATCCACAATTTTAGGTTGTGGAATTTACTTTATTTTGAAAGCAATAGATTACATACCAGTGTTTACATGATTCATTTATAGCCGACGAATTTGGAGTACATTGCGGAGAACTTGGTTTTTGACGCACATATGCGGTGTCTGGTAGTGATTGTTGTAGCAGTTCGCGTACGCTTTCGAGCTTACTACAGACGCTTGTATCATGCTCTAAGTCTTCTTTAAAGCCTTCGGTTTGATGCTCTTCTTTTGTTGGCTCGAAAAGCTTTCCCTCGTTTTCAAAATTGGACGAAGAGAAGTCAAGCCATTCTCCTTCTTGGTCCGTTTCGTCCGCCATGACAGAACCGAGATTTAACAGGGCAAATTCCGTGGAAAGAGCTCGAAAATTCCTATCCTCCCCCCGTTTAAATCCTATGATAAAGTCTAGGGATTATACAAAATTCCTGTGTTTAAGGATAAATCCTTAAAAGCGAGAGCCCAACCGGGGGGTTGTATAGTTGTATTGCAGTCACAATAACATAAATCTAATATTCAATATGGCGTCTGACAAGGAATGCGATATAAACAATGTTACTAAGGACGAAAACACGACCGAAACAGCTCCTCAAACAACAGAAAAATCGGGCTGGTTGTGGAAAAGAACTAAACTTTCAAAGCAGTGGGAAAAGAAGTGGTTTTCCCTTAAAGAACGGATTATATTTTATGGCGATTCGCCAGATGTAAGCGGATATTTTTGAACGTCTGTCAAATGTTTGTTTACATAAGTTTGTTGTTTGCTGTCCACACACTGCGCAACCAACTTGATAATATTGTGTAGCAAAGTAATGCTTCACCTGTTTTCATCTCAGTATTAAAATAAACGAGGTTGAAAACACGAAAAAGCAAAGTCGCAAAGAGGAAGAGTAGTCGAGTGGAGTGCATAAGGCCACTATTTGTTGCATATTAGTTTCTCATCCGGGGCTTCACCTAAAGTTGATGCGGGCGGGCGGGATTATGCCATTATTTGTCGGATTTCCCCTCTCCGTAAATATTACTTGAAAAATGCGCATTTAGCATTTATAGCATTGCAAAAACAGCACAAAATTAGTGAGTGCAACTGAGTATGTTTTCATCTTAAAAACATGGTCACATGTGAAATATTAATCACAGAATAGAGAAATAATTTTGTAGCCTAGTCGTCTCGCGTTTTTTTCCCTGCCCCTGGCTTTCGGTAGAACTTTTACGTAAATGCGAGAGAAACTGGCAGTTTTGCAATTGGTATGAAATTTCGTATCTTAACTAAAACTTTTGGTTTGGGAACGTTTCTAATTGCATATCTTTCTTTCAAATATAATTTTGAAGACATCACAAAATTTGTAATAATGGTCAAAAATGGCAATAATGGCGAACAAGACAATTTTCTTAAAAAGCATGCGGGCGGGGATGAGAAACTAATATACAACAAATAGTGGCCTAAATGCAAATATTTATGTTTCAATGTTATATAAAATATTTGGTTTTGTGGTTTACGAATAAATAATACATAGTTTCATATGTATGTGAATAATATTGTTAATAGACTGTCTATGTTGTCTATGTTAATGTAGATATAAACTGATATAGACTCACAAAATGTATGTTGATTTTAATTGAGTAGTACAACGCTGCTCCATAGAACACATAATTGATTATTAATGCCTTTCCTCGAATTTTATAGGATACACCAAAAAGCTTCACATTGGATTCGTGTGAAGTAGCGACATGTGAAATGAAATCAAAGAGCTACACATTCTATCTCAAACCAAAGGACTCGCAGAGAAAATATTTTCTTTGTGCTGAGAACGAACCTGAACTACAAGAATGGATGCAGGTTATTTGCCTCGCAAGAAGTTATGGACAAAAAAATTCGGAAGGCTCTGAAGCTTGTGTCATCCAGTAGAGGAATACTTTTCTTTCACTGAACTTGCTGGTTAAATCCTGTACAAATCTGGAGGAGGTTGTATAAAAGGCAGTTAAAATTTAACTACAGTTGGTGTAAAGTTAGCCAATCAAAATCACGTTATTTAGAGAAAATAGTAGTGAGAACGTAGTTAGAAATTTTATGCAACCGGTTTTCGGATGGTACTGGACTTGACATTGTCAAAGATTGGAACGTTACTCGTGAAAGACTTTGCGTCAAGTTTGCAAGCCGTGAAAAAGGATCGAAAATGTAACAGTCTATAGACCTGAAAACTTCAAATTGGCTACGAACAGTCTTAGCACATGTGATAAAACATTTATAAAATATATTAGAAGAGTTAATATATTACTAATTAGGAAATTTATCAAATAAATTGAGAGAACAGTCCTACCAACTTCATTATATTTTCCTGCGAATTCTCAACTTACTAGTATGAAAATAAAAATGTCATCTGCATTGTTTATCGTCGTCTTTGTGACATAGTTCGGAAGAGTTTGCGTCTGTACATATATTCTTGCCAAAAGCAGAAATTTATCATAATTTGAAAAACCGGTTTGACCGGTTTAATAACTCAAAGATTCTTGTGAATCAAGTTTGACTACCAAGTCTAGAAAACAAGGACTTTCTGCTCGATTTGACCGGTTTAATAACTCAAAGATTCTTGTGAATCAAGTTTGACCACCAAGTCTAGAAAACACTGACTTTCTGCCCGATTTGACCGGTTTAATAACTCAAAGATTCTTGTGAATCAAGTTTGACTACCAAGTCCAGAAAACACTGATTTTCTGCTCGATTTGACCGGTTTAATAACTCAAAGATTCTTGTGAATCAAGTTTGACTACCAAGTCTAGAAAACACTGACTTTCTGCTCGATTCTTTTTTCGTGTCGGCGGACACACGTGCCTTTACAGTAGAAACAGGTTTGACAGGCTGGACAGCTCGGATCGGTTTCAATGGACGTAGTACACTGTGAGATTTGGCAGGTTTTTCGGGACTATCGTCTGACACTATGCGAGACCCCACGCCCCTAATTGTGCGTATCGTTAGAGCTCCTGTACGCGTTGTCGAAGGTGGGGATGCAGCATCGGTTTCACCAAGACGTTTGAAAACTGAACTTTCACTCTGAAATACATTAAATTTATGTCACTTTTTTATTCGCAGGACCGTAGGTTCAATTCCTACCAGAGGGCTTTGTGCTGCATTTTTCGCAGTCGTTCCTGGTCAGGTCTTAAAATGTATATATTATACTCACTGGGTTACAAACTCTAACATTCACTTTTTTTAGTTTTTATTGCATTTGTTCATTCATGGGAACTAGCTAGAGCCGAATTTCCATATGGTCGCAACGGTCATAAGAATAGAGTCACGATCTTTCTCAACGGTCAGATTATAAATTAATAGTTTTTTACCTTTAAACGACATATAAATCATAAGCATTCTCTATTTATAATCACTCTGCCTATTTTCAGTTCTAAACTGTTGCAATTTCCAGCAGAAAAAGGAGTTCATATAGTGAGAACCTAAAATTGTCACCCCCTCTGGGAACAAACAAGCTTTTAAAGCAGATAAAAGAGTAATGAAGTCGAGATTAAACAAGACAACAAGACATTTTAACCTCACTCACCTTAGTTAACGAGATAACTTTACTGGACGGTGCTGCAACTGGTGATTTTGTTAGCTTGGTGATTTTAATTTTCGGTGACAAACGTTCCATGTCTTTCGATACATTACTTGATTCCTCTTTGCCAAGTCGTTCAAATGCTGACTTTCGTTTAACTGCAACTCCTGTGAAACAAAACAGACATTCAAATTCAGGATGTTAATATGGAGTTTAACATTTATTTCATATCATATTATTTTATTTTAATATTACTCTGTCTAACAAAACATTACAACATATTAAATTAAATTAAGAGTACAGTTGTGGCAGGGCAACAGCTAAATACCAATTACAGTGGACCTGGGTAGACAAAAGAAAATTAAAGGCAATAAGTGATAGGTGCATGCAAGCTTCGAGCCTTACTACAATCTCAGTTAATTAACTGTGCTACAATGTACACAAACAGATTTCCATGTCCGAGGGTTAATCAGCGACAAAACACACAGTTCCAGAACTTCGGAAATGACACTTAGTAGCGATATTGGTCTATACAATCATGGAAATTAATTTGTAGACTTTTCAAAAATTTCCCATATCCCCCCCCCCCTCCCTGTTTACAATGTTGGTTTGTGGTCCAATAGTCATGGTTTGAACCAACATTGTGCTAGGGGGAGGGGGGAAATTCTTATTTCTAGCAATCACGAACGTTTGTATTAACCAAAAATAAATGGCTTTACAAAATAGTAAGACAAGAGACGTTTTAAAAACGTCTACGGATATTATTTCCATGATTGTAGTTTTCTACATGAGATTTTTCACCACTCTTAAACATGGGAACAATGTTTACCACTTTAGGGACGACGCCATGGATACTACTATGGAAACATTATTCATACCTTTGTTAGTGGAAGTCATTTTCTCAGTAGATGGCTTAGTTTTTGTTAGAACTTTTTTAACTGTATTTGTTTGAGCTTTGCTTCCTTCCACTGATACAGGAGAAACTTTAGGTTGTAGAACTGTCTTGCTTGCAAATCTATCTGACAATGACATTGTGGTCTTGGCTGGTCTCTTTTTTGGTGAAATGCGAGAAGAATCATCAACTGTCACAGTTATTTTAGGTCCAACAGTAGGTAACATTTTCTTCTTAGCTGGTAATGTTAACACTGCTGTTTGTTGAACTTCTGTAACCAAATATCACATGACATTACTCTATGTTATTTTCTGTCAGCTGCATGAGGAATGCAGAATATGTTTTTCTCACACGTTGCTGGGGGTACTGGGTCAAGGTTGGTTCATTCCACATTCCTAAACTACTGAACTTCATACAAAATCTTTTCCTGACTTTTCTGCATCAGTTTTTACCTGTTTTTGGTTTGTTTGGAAGTTTGGCAACAAGTTTTTTCTTTTTTACTTGACCTGAAGATAGTAGTAGTTGTGGTGGATCGTCTTGTACTAAAGGTTCATCAACAGATTCTGACTCTTGGACCAACTGATTTGACATTTTCTCTCTTTCAAGCTAGGAAATATACATTAATTTATTATCAAGAGTAGAAATGAGCATCATTTGATAAGCATCTATCATTATTGACCATCACTATCTTAACAGTACCTACCTTGGCATATACTGCTTTCGCATGTTTCAAAATAGACATGACATCACCCATAACAATAATTCCAATATCATTAAGAATTTCCTAAAATAATAAACATGAAAATTCAAGTCAGAAATCCCTTATGCACTTCTCTAGAATTTAGTTGCTACAACAAGCATGCCAGTATTACTCACTGTCATATATAAATTGACTTAATTATGTCAGACCCCCTAATTAATAGGTGGATTAACAAACACTTATTAACATTCTATTATATTCCTCTAATTCCATCCAGTGGACAACTCTTATTAACATTTGAAACACTCCCTATTGATGCTCGTTAATTAGATCGAGGTTCCATTGCTTCATTCTAGTAAACATCCATACCTCCTCCACAGAAGAAATTGGAAGTTAACCCTCCTACCCCTTTTGGATGTCATATAATACACTTTCTACCGGTATTATCAGAAACAAACTTCTCACCCCTCCCTCAGACATTTCCTTCATTGGGGAGTGTGGATCTTTTCCAGAATACTCCCATTGCAACAAGATAATTACTGTAACCCATTGAGTCGCATTGTGCCCTATTATTTTACTCTGTCTAATGCCAGAGATTTTACTTCATCAAGGGGAGAGTGCTGGCACTTAATGGGTTAACTGGCCTATCTGCCCATGTGTCTAGTTAACCCGTTGAGTCACATTGCACCATACTTTATTATTTTACTCTAACGCCAGACAATTTTACTTCATCAAAGGGAGAGCACTGGCACTTAATTATATAATTAAATAATTCACTTCACCTTGGTCAAATCACCAAGTAGGATATCTTTGATTCGGTGATTACAAAACAGTGTTGCATACCTAAATTTACACAATCAAATCCAGTTACTAAGCTAGCTAGTCATGGCAACCCAGTTGCATCACCTCAGACTCTGGTATAAAATTTTGACAGATTCCAACCAGATCGGCAATTGGTCAGTTGCACAAAACTGAATAAATTCTGAACCATAGACATCCATCCAGTTTCACTGTACCCCCTGATAAGTTAAAAGGTGGAATCATGAAAACTTATTTTTTCTAAATGTTTTAATGTAAATTGATTAGAATTAAAATGGAAAGATGGCAATTAATTGACCAGTTACCATGGTTCATGGATAGCTTTGCCGTTATTCAAACTACGCATAAAATGACACAATATACACGATATAACTCAAGCAAAAGCCACAAACTTTAAGGTTCACAGGTATTTAATTCAATTACAATTGAGCCTTTGTGTTGACTTACTCGGTTGCTGGTCCTCTGGGCACCCCAGCCTCGTGGAAAAACGTCGTCCATTTTTGCAAATCTTGACAAGTTCGGAGAAAAGATCAAAAGAAAATGAGTGTTAACACTTTGACAAGAACAAAATTATCACATAGTGTTCATTTTAACTAACCTTTTTCAGCCATAACTGTAAATTTCGTCAAAATATTGGCTTACTATTGATTGTGTTTTGAATGTGAAAGTTGAAATGTGATAAAGTTCGCGCAAATTGCGACAAGGACTGGAACTAGTTTCTGGAGATTAATTGTTTTGTTTTTTAATTTCTTCAATGACATTTCTTTTATTTTCTTTATTATAATTTACTTTGGATTTTATTTCCTGCTTGTTCTTCTCTTTATTTTATCTTCTGCCTTTTTAAATAACTATACAAATACACTATCTACATATTAAAAGTTTTATCCATGATGTCAACTGACAATGACACTAGAGCATTAATAATCCGAAAGAACCATTTGCAAAGAGAGCTGCAATCCAAAGAGAGGTTTCTGTCAGATTCTTGACACTTGACCCGCTGTCGACAGTGGAAAGGGAAATAGGGAATGATGATTATGTCGGATTTACACAAGATACAGCCTGTAGAATATTGATAGTGGATGTGCATTACACCTCCACCAGCTCCACGACGAGTGTCAGGCAGAGAATGGCTACGTTTCTTTGTTCCAAACTCTCCACGCCTCCTCTGGTTCATGTTTGTTCCTCAGCAACAGCTCACGTGTCGGAGGAAGAACGGAAAATTTTTGAAATCCTTTCGGAGAATCAGGCGATGGTTTCTGATAGCAAATGATGTCATTTTTAATATCCTGGAGGAATAAAAATATGCATATAGAACACAGGGGCCAGGGCTGTTGGTACCTCTCACCCAGAGGCGTAGACATGAGGGGAGGGGATCCTTACCTGGTCATTTATTAGCAGCACTTGATTCATAAGCTTTAACTTCTGATTGAAGGAATTCATATCCTGTATTATGTAAAAACAAAAATCAAATGTGTGACAATGCGGCAAATGTTGGTCAACTCTTATCAGAGTGACTATTTGTGCATTGCATTTATTTGATGACAAATACATATTGTGGAATATTTACCAGGCCTGTCGAGAGGGGGGCGGTCACTTTGCCGCGGGCCTCCAGCTCAAAAGGGCCTCCAAAGCAACGAAGGCCCTTACAATAAATATAATTTGCAGAAATAATTTACGTCCGTCTGATTTTCAGCCATTTTTTTTTTGGAAAAGCAATAGTTACTTCTCTGAGCAGTAACCATTGCCTCATAGTCACTGCTGAGGGAGCCAATCAGAATGCTCAAAGGCCGTTTTTCAATTCTGAAATTATACTAAAGTGTAATATATTGTAAAACAGCGCTTCTTCCGTTTTACAATTATAACATCATAGGGGACCCTGGGAAAGTTTTGCCCCGGGCTCTGCGCAACAGGTGGCAGCCTTGTCATTTCGTGTCAATACATTTGAAATTGAGCACCCAGTGTGGCAGCATATAAAAAATTGAAAACTAACTACCTCTGGTTTGGTGAAGATATAAGTAGACATATGATGTACAGCAATAAGATAAAATACTGGAGACCAATTTTGCCTAAACATTGAGAAAGAAACATCGAATAAACTTTGTGAATATGACGTAGATATAAGATACATCTGAGAATCCATCAACTTAGACCAACAGTATTGTCTTACCGTAGAGCACCAGCAGCCAGTGCTCGCAGTTGCAGGATTAAAATTTCAAAACTGGACTCTGGCGGAAATAAGTAATACTCAATTGGCACTGGTACCTAGAAAATAACAAACGCGCAATGAATAAATTTACCGCTCGTTCCATTCGCCGTTTGTGTCTGAACTACGGTTTATCTGAACCACGGTGTATCTTATAATTTGTCAGGTAGTTTAGACCACCACAGTTGAGATATCTTTTTCAGGTAGTTCAGACACAAACCGCGGCAGCTTATTGTAGAATGCTACCTACACTGGACCACCACGTTTGAGATATCTTTTTCAGGTAGTTCAGACACAAACCGTGGCAGCTTATTGTACAATACTACCTACACTAGACCACCACGTTTGAGATATCTTTTTCAGGTAGTTCAGACAAAAACCACGACAGCTTATTGTGGAATGCTACCTACACTGGACCACCACGTTTGAGATATCTTTTTCAGGTAGTTCAGACACAAACCACGGCAGCTTATTGTAGAATACTACCTACACTGGACCACCACGTTTGAGATATCTTTTTCAGGTAGTTCAGACACAAACCACGGCAGCTTATTGTAGAATACTACCTACACTAGACCACCACGTTTGAGATATATTTTTCAGGTAGTTCAGACAAAAACCACGACATCTTATTGTAGAATACTACCTGTGATACTATACCTACACTAGACCACCACGTTTGAGATGTCTTTTCAAGTAGTTCAGACACAAACCACAGTAGCTTATTGTAGAATACTACTACCTCCATCTTACCTCGTCAAAAGCTAAACCGAAAGACCTAAATACGCCAGTGTGTTCATTCCAGACAGCTTTTCTGAACATGTTGTTGTAGCGTTGTTGCAAAGGCAACAACAAAAAGGACGAGAAAAGAGCATCACCAAACGAAACTGCTTCGTACTGACCAACGAAGGAAATAAAACTGAAAGAAAAACCATGTTTTACTAATTTTATTTTTACTGGATAGCTCGATCAGTCCTAAACTGCTCTCTCTAGAAGTTTCTTCAGGGTAGGAGGAAACGTATAGAACAGGAGCAGAGGTTATTAATATGGAAATTGCTGCATACTTACAGATCGTAAAATGATGTAATTCCAGGGATATGAGAGTTGAAATCAAGACATGCCAACAGAGAGGAATGCGTGTAAGAATGAAGCAACGACTTGAGGTAGTTGTGAATTAGGTTATCCAGGAATAAATCACTGCCTAGATTAGGAAATAATTAAGAATGAAAACTGTCTATTTGGTTGGTTTCAGTAAGCACCACAAAGTAGCAGATGGTGGTCAACGTCAGAAATGTCGACACTCATAGAAGCAAGAAAATTAAACTACATTCCTCAATTCGATCGTACCGAAGCGTAGCGTATTTCTTTGTTTCCTGGGACCGGTTGTTCAAAGGTGGGTTAACGCTAACCCTCGGTTAAAATTTAACCCACTGTTTTAGTTTGATGTATTTCTGCACGTCTGTTTATTTCAAAACTTCAGAGAAGTAAACTCCTATCAATCCAGACAAGATTTCTGAAGAAATATTTCCAAATTTATAAACAAGCTCTTGGGAAGTTTGCTTTGAATTTTAAGTTAACCAAGGGTTAAGCTAATCCAGCTTTGAACAACTGGCCCCTGAGCGGTAGTGTGGAACTAATAACTTCGACACAAAAGAAAATGCTACGATACGTTACGATTGAAGTGGAAAGGCTACGTTTTTTCACGTCGCTACGGATAGCTTTCCTTAGCGACGTAAAAACATCTATCCATACCTTTTTTAGGAACGCATTTTCTCACACCGCTATATAACTGCCGGTTGACACCATCTGCTGCATGATAGTGCTTAGTGAAACGTATGCCCGAGTAAAATGACACAGAAGAAACAGAAAAACAATTTTAAACCGTATTGCAAAACTAGAAGTGTACCTGTAAGAAATGTGCACATGAGCCTCGCTATCTTAGCCGTGCAGGATACTTTATGCAATACTACAGGTCTCCACTCTTCCAGTAGTAAGACCCATTGTAATGTTCGTTTTACGATAGAGCTCGAGGCACTTGCGAGGCGGTCTTGTTGCGGTTTTGACAATAATTCACTACAGAGAGACATTGAGAAAGGTTAGTTTTGAACTCGTTTGAAAACTGAACTAACTTCATTCGTAATGGATAGCTCTACCAGTGCTATAAATTTTACTTCTTATAGAGATTCAGTAACGACCACCCCATTTAGTAATACATGATAGTTCTATCAGTTCCAAGCGTGTCACTGTTCTTTCTAAAGATCTAGTTAGGGCCATCCTTCATTAGTCTAGTATTATTCCCGGATACTCTGAAGGGAACCAGGGTATCCGGGAAAGAACTTTTTTGGTACAGACACAGACTCACCATTTAACAGCGGTATTATGAAGATCAACTAATGGCAGAAACATCCAATCAACGGGCAGCATTGTACCATCGACCAACGGAAGTAGAAAAGTGGTAATGTTTTGAGGCTGATGAAGACTTCGAGCTCTAGAGAACAGAGTGAATTGAAAACAGAGAAATGAAAACTGCACTTGTATTAATACCAGCGGTCATCGTATTGTCAGCTGACACAACTTTGCAGATTAAATAAAAATTTTATTATTATTATTATTATTAAAACAAGCTTGAACAATATTTTGCTGCCCATATTGTTCCGGATTGTCAACAATATTGTTCAGCATTGTTCAGCATTGTTCAGCCTGAACAGTGCTGAACAATATTGTTAACATCCAGGAACAAGATGCTTGTGTGATGTTACTCTGAGTGTGTATCCACACCGGGTAGGCTTGAAAAATATGCCTGGCCACGGTGGGATTCGAACCTACGACCTTTGGAATACAGGTTCGAATCCCAGCGTGGTTATAGGTTCGAATCCCACCGTGGCCATGTGGTTCGAATCCCACCGTGTTCGAATCCCACCGTGGTTCCAATAGGTTCGAATCCCACCGCACCAATAGGTTCGAATCCCACCGTGGCCAGGCATATTTTTCAAGCCTACCCGGTGTGGATACACACTCAGAGTAACATCACACAAGCATCTTATTCACCTGAGTACATTACACCAACACAGCAATATCCAGGAACAAAATGGGCATGCAGCAAAATATTGTTCAGGCCTATTTTCAACAACATTGTTACAGGCTGGGCGTTTTTTGCAGTGTAAACAAAATGCCTTGTCTGTCCGTCCGTCTGACCGACCGACAAATCGTCTGAGTACCTCACTGATTGACAGGCTGACTGACGGGCCAACTTTTCGTCCCACGTAATAAAGTATACACACATGTAAATTACATTTAAATCATTTACTCCATCTCCTACCTTGACTTTGCTAAAGCGTGTCTCATTTGTGCAAATGAAGATATGAATGTTGAGCGAACGGGCAGCAAATCCTTGTATGCCTCAGACAACAGTTCTCCCCGTGAGAATGATTTCTGTTTTCTCGTTGTTGCATCGTTCACCACAGCTTCGGATTCAATTCCCATTTCTGACATGTTGGATGTGATTGCCGTTGCACATTCATCCTTACTTTCACTGAAATTTATATTTCGAATATGCATCAAGTATACCGAAATTGGTATCTTTCAGCAGCAGGGAGGGGAGGGGTGGGGTGGGGGGAGGTAGCCGCCCCCCAATAATTTTTTGAAAGCACTTATATTATATCAAAGGTTCTGTGAGAACTTACTGAAAGAAAGCGGAGTTGAACAACACAACAGACATCAGGTCATGAGCATAAAACTCGTCACCAGGAAACAGCCGTGAGAAGAGAAGTAAGCTTGTGGTGTGATACAACGCAGTGAGCTGACCATCCATGCTGCCATTTTGTAGAAGCTTAACGACATAAAACAAGATTGGTTAAAAATCTTACATGCATATATAAGTAGAGAAGTTGCAGATACGGTTCAGACACAAAGCACTACAGCTTATGACAGAATACTATTTACAAAAACTGTCTGTACCAGTGTAGGTAGTACCAATGTAGAAATGCTGTGCTGAGTGGTTATATTACTACCTTAAAAAATAAGCAGAAACTCTACGTTTCGAGCGAAGGCCCTTCGTCAAGAGTTAGTAGCAGGGATCGGGGGAAATGCCGGGCTTTTATACTAAGTGTATGAAAGCATCACGTGACAATTTTTTTTGTCACGTGATGCTTTCATACACTTAGTATAAAAGCCCGTGCAATTTCCCCGATCCCTGTGACTCTTGACGAAGGGCCTTCGCTTGAAACGTCGAGTTTCTGCTTATTTTTTAAGGTAGTAATATAACCACTCAGCACAGCATTACTATTTACAAAGCATACTTACTATATTATAAAACAATTTGATAAGGAAATATTGAAAATGCTGTTCGACTTTGACAAAGAAGCACTGGGACTCGGAATTCTAAGGGATAAAAAACTAATTCAGTAAAGCAAAAAACACAGAATGAACGCTATGATTTTACTTACATTTTGTCCAGGCGTCGAGTTTGACTTTAAATATTGAACAATAGTTTCATTCGTGACGAACTTTAGAAACTATGAAAAGAAAACACAAGCATCTTAATTGGTGCGTTTCAGTAAGTGTGACAGCAGATGGTATTAATTAACTTCAGAAATGGTGAGATTTCTATGAGCAAGAAAATTAAATTACACATCTCAATTATACTTAATTGCCACTAAATACAAGACTGTTCTTCTCAACTCGACTACATATAGTGAAAAGAATTCATTTCTTGCTGTGATAAGTGCAAGAGAACTACCATCTGTTGCTCAGTGGAACCCACCCATACAACCCTCAAAGATAAAATGAGTCAAATGCATTCCTTCATCGATTCACACCTGTACGCAGGCAAATACCTACTTTACTCGTAAGGCCTTTATGACATGACGTAATGACCATAGATAGCCTGGCGAAGGACAGCAAGAAAGGAAACGGTGTTCCTTTGTGAAGACAACGTGGTAGACCAGTTTGATTTGAGCAATTGTCCTGCCCTAAAGGACAACCGTAGTCTGGCAAATTGGCAACACGAGCCCGTCCTACAGTCGATATTTCGCTCACGTAATATGACGTGTAGTCCCTCATCTTGTCCAAGAGAATTTCCAAAGATTTAGATTGCAATATGGGAACACATATTTCGTTCACCAAAAACTTCTCAATTTCTTCCAAGCATTCTACCGGTGAATAGAAGGGCTAGAATATGGAGGAAAGAATGGGTTAACTGTAGGCTTGCATGAGGATACATATAACAACATGCAGAAAAACAAAATTACCTGGGTAACAAGTTTTTGATAAAATGATGCTAGAAGATTGAAAACTCTTGACAAGAGAAGGAATGATTCTTCCTGAAAGACAAAATGTGTGTATGTAATTAAACTCATAGATAGTGGTTCAGTGTAGGTAGTTAAGCCTAGTTTCCATTTGGTCGTTAGTTGTCGCTGGCACGACAAGCGGTAGATGTGAAATAGTCTAATATGATAATAGTCTTTTTGTGTGTTATATGCAAATTGCAGAGTTTTATAAAGTTTTGTTGACACTCTATTACATCAGCCACTTGTCGTGCCAGCGACAACTAACGACCAAATGGAAACTAGGCTTAAGTATTCTACAATAAGCTGCCGTGGTTTGTGTCTGAACCACCTGATAAAGGTAGCTCAAAGGTGGACGTCTATTTGTAAGTAGTATTCTACAATAAACTGCCGTGGTTTGTGTCTGAATTACCTGAAAAAGGTATGTCAAACGTGGTGGTTCAGTGTAGGTAGTAGTAGTAGTACTCTACAATAAACTACAAAGCTTTGTGTCTCAACTACCGGGTGTCCCAATAAAAAGTACTCCGGTTTGATTCTTAATAACTTCTAAACAAATAAAGCTATCGAACAGAAATAACTTGCATTAAATAGAGAAAGGACTAACTTAGATTTTGATATACTACAGTTGTATTTTACTTAAATATTCACGGAGATATTAATGTTCAAAGTCGGGAGCATATTTTGCGATGCGTCTAAAATTAGCGAAAATCGGCATATCAAATATTAACTCCAGCGTTTGTTTGCTTAATGACATGTGAGGCTAACTTGTATTTCAGCGAATTGTCGTTAGGGTTTGTAAGGGATATGGCGTAGATTTAGACATCGTACATGTAAGTCTTAACTCATTGTTTCCTGAAATATATATGAACGTTCGAAATTATCCAAGTATTTAATAGGTCTTTACAAACTTATGGTACATGCATGAAAGACCATGCAAGGCAGGCGCTTAAATTTTCCTTAAATAGCCTAATTTTTTATGTTTTTCATGGGTTCAAAACAAAGTTGATTATTTCTCGGTTAGAGAAGGATGAATATTATTTTTTAATGAAGGAAATAATATTGCTTTTTGCAAATACACATCACAGTATCAACGCTTCTATTTTGTTACGTTTTGTTCCAAAAATGTTGGATGTCTCTGGGGAGTTGCTTGTTATGTCTTTACTTATGGAGCTGTATGGTTTGATCGTGTTTGATTCTCAGTTTATTCTGAACTTGCCAAGATTAAGAAAGGCAAAAGAGTTTGGGTGTTCTTAACAAGATTTCAGAACGTTGCAGAAGTTAGAAAATTCATTCAATGTGAAGTTAGAAAATTCACAATTCCATTGTCATGACAGCATGCCCTAATTCAAAACTACGAACGATCCATGACGATCCTTCGCGATGCAGTGGTCTCATGAAATAAGGAAAAGTATTCGTGCTAGGAACACACGCGGATTTCGGACAATAAATCTTGCTTGTATTTTGTAGATAATACTTTATTTCATAATAAACAATTTGTCAAGTGTCTTTTATTTACTGGAAATAGTGCATATTTCAATCGGGAAAATCTTGATTATCATTTGATACGCCGTTTTTTGCATATTTCAGATACATCCAGAAATATGCTCCCGATTTTAAACATTAATATCTCCGTGAATTTTTAAGTGAAATACAACTGTAATATATCAAAATCTAAGTTAGTCCTTCCTCTATTTGATGCAAGTTATTTCTCTTTAAAAGCTGTACTTGTTTAGAAGTTATTAAGAATCAAACCGGAGTACTTTTTTTTGGGACACCCGGTACTTGAAAAAGATATCTCCAACGTGGTGGTCTATTGTAAGTAGTATCTTACAATAAACTGCCGTGGTTTGTGTCTGAACTACCTGATAAAGATATCTCAAGTGTGACGGCTTTGAATTCTCAAAGTCTCAGCCTTGACCCACCTTCGCTACACTCTCCTCTAGTGATACAAACTGTTCTTTCAACATTTGAACACAATGACCAATCAGAGGTAACAATCCAGTCACGTGACTCCAATCAATGGGAGACGGGGGAAGATGACTTGCATCAATACTCCCAGGGAGGTTATCTTCAGCTAGGTGAGTTGTTAACTGCGCCTGCAGTTCAGCCTTGCTGCCAGCGACATGAGTCACTGCTTCAACAAGATCCACCAGAGCACAAGCACAGGCTGTGCTTGGTTGAGACTGATCGCGGACTGGTAACGAGGCTAGTCCTTGTACTTGGGTTAAGATGTGAGAGTAGACGTTGCTAGATATAAGAAGACAGAATTTGAAATTATTGAAATTCAATAAATGGACACCTTATCACTAGTGCTATCTAATCAAAACTTGACTCTTCATCATGCATCTCTCAATCTATCTATTTCCTACGAAATACAAGACTGATGCATATCACACGAAAATAATTTTTCCTCTGACAACTACCAGTTGACGACCATTGCGAATTAAAAACTATTGAAAATTATATGGATTTTACAATAAAATTTAAAGAGTTCTTTCTCCAACTCAACCACGAAGTACAACATGTAGATTAATTATCCTGCGCTATATGCAAACATTTTGTGTTTTGTCAATGCTTTGGTATCAGGTCATATATAGTTATATATATAGCTATATACAATATCTTTATAAGGGACATAGGGAAGAATACCTTGGTAACTAGTGTGTAAATATTGTTTTTCCCTCTTTAAGTAAAGCATGTTTTTAGTGAAGACACCAAAAAACATAATACCTGAACCCCTCACACGCCAGGCCATAAGATATACACGTACTCCAGATGGTAAAACTCTCAGTAGCGAGCTGAAGCGCTTCAGTCACATCTAGCATCATTTGTTCAGCTGGTACTGTTATAAACCGCAGAATTTTGGTTATTAAACCAAACTTGGTGATCTAAAACAAAGTTGAACAACGGTCATCAAATTATTCATACTAATTTGGCTTTATTAAATCTTAACTGTGTTGACCCTTACTGAACCCTCCAAGGAGAATTGTTCTGATTGGAAGGTCCAGTAAGGGTCATTCCTTAATGTTCCATTGTTATTACAGAACGAAACCTAAACTAAATGTACTTTATTTACACTGAATAGCCCCAGAAGGTCCACACTGTTATCTGCAGATATTCAGTAAGGAACACCCGTTACTGGTCCAGTGTTACTGCATGAGAAAACCTGGATCAGCCAGAGAAAACCTGAATCAAACTGAAAGCACTCTTTTCACAGGTTACTAAGGGCACACGCACATTATGATGAGACAATTGTATCTTCAATTAATCAAGGCACATGCACTGTCCAACGAATACCACCTGCTATCCAGAATTATATTACGATCAGTCATTACTTCATAAACCTACCAGTGTGTCAGCGAGGTATTTCCCAGCACAACATAAAACTCTGAATAATTTCAAAGCTTTAACCAATGGATATCCGTAAACATCAGTCACTGCCACTGCACTCTCTTTAGCTTTCCATGAACTTGGTAGAAACTGGACTAATACAGTCTCCAGTAGTCTAGGACATTTTGCAACAGAATGAGCGGCTTCGGTCGAGTGTCTCGCGATCCTGGTGAGAATATCTAGGATATTTAGGACTACAGGGGATGCAGGGCGACACACTTCAAGGATATAGCGAAGTCTTGGGAGATACCGCATCTGCAGCAGGCCCTGGAATAAAATCAGATATTTTTTACCTTCATGTATATCAGACACAAAATACGGCAGCTTATTGTAGAATACTACCTACCCTGGACGCCTATGCTTGAATTACCTTTCTCAGGTCGTTCAGACACAAACCACGTCAGCTCATTGCACAACACTACCCACATTGGACCACCACGTTTGAGATATCTTTTTCAGGTAGTTCAGACACAAACCACGTCAGCTTATTGTACAACACTACCTACATTGGACCACCATGTTTGAGATATATTTTTCAGGTAGTTCAGACACAAACCACATCAGCTTATTGTACAACACTACCTACATTGGACCACCACGTTTAAGATATCTTTTTCAGGTAGTTCTGATATAAACCACGGCAGTTTATTGTAAAATGCTAGCTATAAAGGACTAAGCTCCCACGTTTGAGATATCTTTTTCAGGTAGTTCAGAAAACAGCTCATCAAAGAATGCTATACCTACGCGGGAATCAAACTATCTCAAGATTAGGAGATTTCGAGGCTTGAGCTAGCTAAAACTCTATTGCAATACCCACACAGTCCACGTACTTTAATCAAGTCTTGTCTGACAACATCAACATCTGGCAAGTTGCTTGAACCTTCCCCGGGATCTTTAATTTCTGTTGGACACAAACATGGCAACTCTTTACCACGATACCACCCAAAACACAATAGATCTGCTGCAGCCTAGATAATATTTGGAAAAAGATTATTAAAATAGCTGGGCCTACGAAACGGCGAAGTTTCACTTGAATTTTTCAGGCATCCACCTATCCTGCATGGCACAGACAGTTTGAGTTTATATCAAATTTGAAACAGTCTTCTAAACCTATAACCAGGATACTGCATACTTCAGGAATTGAACCCTAGTCGCAAAAGTGAAAGGCAACAACATCATGCACTAACCACTGTGCCAGAAACACTGCTATTGGTTTTACATTTCATTCACTCGTACCTCATCCTGTTGTGTGACAAGCAACGCTGTGAAACAACTGACAGAAGCCGCAATCAATGAATCCGTGTTATCATCCAGCGACCAGCGAAGGAGAAATGGTAGACCAGCGTCAAGTATTAATGGAAGTAGATCTTGATCCAGATGACCACGGTAAACTCCACTACGATCCTTTTGTCGATAAAAGAAATTACTACATTAGCATTATGTAGCATTACGAAACAGTGACTCGGATAGCGCGATCAGCTAGAATAGTGCGAACCATACTCACCGTTTCAGGCCCGAATTTCGACGAATTTCGCCCGTGGACGAGAGGATTTTATATCATATTCGCCATGTATCATGTTTCTGAACTTGCTTTGTACAAGCGGTAAGTACGAAAATAAATATTGAGAAACCAGTGTTGGACAAGTTATTAACAGAAGCAGTGCGTCATACTGGCTCAGTCGTAGGTTATACAGTTATCTTTACCATTACCTCTCACTAGCTCAGTGCGCATCTAATTGGTTAATCGGATATATCAAACGCATCTAATTGGTTAATAGTCCATTAATGGTAGAGGTAGTTTAATGTTTTCGTAAAATAAGCTTTAGCAATAGGGCATGCGAATAAAGCAATAAAATAACCTTAGGGCATGCGAATAAAGCAATAAAATAACAAATAGCATGAAGTCAAATCTGAACCTCGCTATTTCTCTCTTCAGGGGGACCATTGTAAAATAATCTGGAGGACCACTGTCCAGGGTCCGGGCCAGAAATTTCATTCTCCATACCCTTCTAAGAAAACCTGAAACGCTGCATATAGACCCATTGCACATGACGTCACAGCGTCGGTGATGATCGATGCATCTGGAGGACAAATTAGCAATCTATGCATAATGTAACTTTTGTAAACAAAGCAAATTTTGTAAAACTTTATAATAATTTTGCATTAAAATGGTTAATGTTTGCACTGTATGTGGTTGTTGTACCCGAACAGATATTGTTAAGGAGCATCTGGAGGACACTCTAAGGATTTGTGACGTCAGTGCAATGGGTCTATTGGTAATGATTCTGGGAACAAATCTGTATTTCAGTGATTGGAGCGCTGCATTGGAATAGCAGGGCCATAGGTTGGGAAGCCCTATAACATAGTTTCATCCCGGGTAGGTTTAGTTTTTACTCGAGTCTATCTTTCATCGTTCTACAAAAACCCTTCAACATTCTAGTACCTTTTCAATAATCTTTGCCAGAGTATTAATGGCCAACACCCGTTGTTGTAGAAAGTTACTTCTTGAAAGTAAAAACAATTCCTCCAAGGTATACCCCGCTCTGTCTGGTTCGTCACCATGGTGATGTAAGCCCACGTATTCTGGAATGCCCTCACTACCGGTCAAAACGTTCCCGTCGAAGTCGAATCTTGCTTGTTCGTTAGTCTGTGTTAAAAGACACAAAAAAGTAATAAGGCCGTTAGCAGGGCTTTCAAAAATATCCTGAGCAGGTGGCTGTCTTGATTAAATAGGCGGCTGTAGTGTAGCCTGTGGGGAGGGAGGGGTTGGGGGCGGTTTAGGGAGTCTTAAAGTCATCCAACTAGTATATTAATTAAATTGATTAGATAGCAACACAACTGAGTTCTGCAACTAAATTATAATGTACCACTACTTTCATTCTTCAACAAGATAACTTCAAGATTTAAGATGGCAAATAACTAAATCTAGATATAGTACATCGTTTTCGAAAATAACATGTAGGCTATAATACTTTATAGACCAGGTTGAGGAAAAATAAATTTGTTTGAAAGCTTAGAGTGGAGAAAGGAACCCTCTTGCACCCGCAGGCTTATTTTGAAAGCTGCCGTTCCTCCAGATATTATTTGGAATCAAGCAGAGCGAACGATACGAATTTCCATAAAACCACATGGAAGTGAACGAATTTGCATGCAGCTCCAAAATCGTGTTAGTGTAGTCGGAATTACAAATCTCAAACCTACCCCTGACTTTTTTACACTGGGCGATTTTTTCATCCATTCCAACTTTTCAGCCTCAACTTGATCCATATGCAACCATTTCTCAGAAATATTGGTGCCCAGAATATCTTTCGCTACATCAACAACAGCCCCACCTTCTTCCTGGAACTTAGACTGTTCCTGGTCATCCCCAGTGGTGACGTCATCAACAAGAATAGAATCTATGCCTTCGTCATCTTCACAGAGTTGGGAATCATTTTCGATAGTGGTTATTGATTTTGGTTGTTTTCGCTTTTCTTGCAAGAATTTAAGGATGGACGGATCTAAAATGTGAAGTTAATTATACAGATCATCTCAACGACTAAACCTGTTAGCCTGGCAGTTTTCAAAAGTTACACGTGAGCGAAAAATGCAAGGAAAGCTAAAATGCAAAATTCACAAAACAGCGCAGAGGCTGTAGATGCTGTACGGAGTTAAACACGAGATAAATTGGAAAGAAGAAAGATCTGATAAGGAGAACGGAGATGCAAATGTTGAGATGGATCCTTTGGGTTTTGATGAAGGACAAAATGCAAAAAGAGATCAGAAGAAGATATGGGGTGGTAAACAATGCAGAGAAGGTGAGGGAAGTAAGGTTTAAATTGTTTGCACACGTAATAAAATGAGATGAAGGAGAGCCAGTGTCAGAGACATTATTGAATGAAGAGATCAGAAGAAGATGAGATGTGGTAAACATTGCAGAGAAGGTGAGGGGAGCAAGGTTGAGATTGTTTGCACATGTAATAAGAAGAGAATAAGGAAAGCTTGTCAGGCACAGGGAATGAAGAGATCAGAAGATGTGGGGTGGTAGACATTGCAGAGAAGGTGAGGGAAGCAAAATTGAGATGGTATAGTATGGAAAAGTAATAAGAAGACATGAAGGAGAGCCAGTTTCAGATATATTATTGGATGAAGAAATCAGAAGAAGATGAGATTTAGTAGATATTGCAGAAAAGGCCTGGGAAGCAAGGTTGAGATGGTATGGATACATAGTAAGAAGCAATGAAGAAGAGCTGGCCAGACACATTGCGGAATGAAGAGATCAGAAGATGTGGGGTGGAAAACATTGCAGAAAAGGCCTGGGAAGCAAGGTCGGGATGGTATGGATATACATAGTAAGACGAGATGAAGGAGAGCTGGTCAGAGACATTATGGAATGGATAGATCAGAAAAAGATGAGAGAACTAGACATTGCAGAGAAGGTGAGGGAAGCAAGGCGAGGTCAGAGACATTGTGGAGCTGAAGATAAAGGGGAACAGAGGACAGGAGAGAATGAAAAATAAATGGGTGGAGCAGGTACATCAAGAAACTCTCAGAAAATGATGGAGGACAGGAATCCACGAAGACTACAGAAAAAGAGGAGTGCAACTTTACCAAAATACGCCTTAAATATCTACCTATCATTTGTTTAAGTTTAGCTTGTTCTTCCATAATCTCTTTTTCTGACATTGATGAAAGTGTCTTGAGATTTTCTTCATGTATTTGCCGTAGTTCAGTCATAGCAGCACTGGGCTGACCTGCATCACTGCCTTGAAGCCCTTCACCTGTGATCAGCATTGGATGAAAGAAACTTGAATCTGAAAGAAAATGAAATATAATGAAAATTAAAGTAATTCATCCAGTCCTGCATGAAATTGAATGTAGTCTAACAACCAAAAGACAACCTTAAATCATCTCTGCCATTTTTTGTAAACATGGAAAATAAAAAGATGTTTCACAATTAGTCAATTACCATCATCCATCATATCTTCATCAATGTCACCATCTTCACACCTGCTTGCAGGTTGTGGTCCCGTTAAAATACCAAAATCCTTCTCTTCAGATTTGGCAAACTGTTTTGCAAACAAACTTTTCCTGGAATTGTTCTAGAATTTTATTAATAAATGGATTGATTTATACTGGGGTATATGATCAGCCATGTTAGTTGGACCCTTTAAGACAAACTATGAATGCCATTTCATCCAAGTGGACAAACTACTGTATACACTAGCTACAAAACTTGTCTCAAAAGTTAAAAATAATTTTATATTTTAGACACATTTCTGATTTACACCAACTATTTGTCTTTGCAAAAGTTTGTAATTGTACGAATCTGGACTATTTTACCAAACATAATTTATTCAAGTCCAATCCATATTACCTGATCCTCTGAGCAAGCAAGCTCTACAGTGTTTCTGTGAAGTACAGATGGAAATCCTTTCGGAGTGACACTTGGCATAACAATAGGACATGTCCTTGTGTCCCTTTCCTTGATAAAAAATTCAATTAAATGCCTTAATTGGCAGTTTTAATAACACGTACAGGGCTGCAAATTACTGTCAGACATCGGACAATGTCAGACTAAATTTGGCAAATGTAAAAGTAATTTTGATCGGACATTGGTCCAATCACACAAAAAAAATTATCACATATATTTTTTGGCTGTGACAAAATCCGATTGCAAATTCACTCAATTTGCAAATTCACTCAATTTGCATATTGCAATAAAATTTACGAGGCATTCTAGCATTTTACTCAACGTTGTGCCAGAATGGCTATACATACTTGTCTCGTGACTTATATATATCTTGTGACGTCCGACCAAATTTAGTGACGTTGGTTTTTGTCCGACTAAATTCAAGTTATGTCCGATCAAAATTAAAAGTGATCAGACAAATGTCCAGTCAAGTCAAATATTTATTTGCAGCCCTGATAACAATAATTAGAATTTTAAAAATTCGAATTATTAATATTTGTTGCTTACCATAATTTTAGACAGTAGGACTGTGACATGTTTATCTTGACCTGTATATTATTAAAAGTACATCTTAAAGTTTTACCAATACTGAAAAACATCTCTCATCATTCTGTGATCATTACAGACTTAAGTCATTCACTTACTTTCCAACAAATCTGCACCATCAAGATCTGTATGACCAGCTCTATTTTGCTATTGTTGTAGTAAAAAAATGTTGAGTCACGTCCATATTCATGTTGCAACAAATAACATTGAATCGACGTTATGAGTGGGTGGGTTTTTATGTGAACTTATCGACATTATCTTGTGGCAATTTGACAATTAATGTCCAAAGTAACTATCACTGACAGTACAGATTTTGTATCATAAATACAAAAGTCAAAATTCGACTGAATATCGATCGACGTCATCTGGAGTGGGTGGGTGAAGAAATAACGTCGATTCAACATTATTTGTGGCAACATGAATATGGACGTGGCCCTTAAGATGCTTATAGTCTAAAGTCTAAACCAACATTAACCCATTAAGCCACAATTATACTAACTTGCTTGGATTGTAGTGAAGTATGTTTGTCTTTAAACTTGGACTTCTTTCTTGGTATGTTTGGAAAAACTTCAACATTTTCATTTCCTATAAAAAGAAGAGTAATTGTATAATAACAACAGAAAGTGGAATACAACACAGGAGCTAGATTGGTACAAAGAGCAGTCTAATTGTAGGACATTGTGGAAAAGGGCGCAATTCCAGTCCTCGCACAAAGGCTACAGTCCCATGCCAGAACTAATCCACACACTGCCGACCAGAGGGGTAGGGCCGATCTACTTCTAATAATAGTAAAATGTACTTGGACATCCAAAGGGGTTAGGAGGATTTTTTCCATGGGGGAGATGTATGTAGGAGATATTCAAGAGGGCAAAAGGGGCAGTGGATTGATTGATTCAGGGGGGGGGGTGTTAATTGTTTATTACTAAAATTATCATTGATTGCTGGCTTGGTACATAACTAAATACAAATTAAAGACGCAACAACTAAATAAAGCTAAATAAATACCTTGTAATTGAACAACATCGCGTTCATGGGGCCTTTTTTCACATGTGTTATCCTCACTGAGATCAGATCTCTCAGGCGCTGAGTGGCTGACACTAGCAGCTGGATTCACACCTTGGGATAAAAATTCCTGCTGAATTCTCAACAGATCTTCTTCGTTTTCACCTCTACCTGGTCGGGAATACATCGTAACGGTGCATTAAAGTGTTGAAAATCTTGCCAGCTTTGTTTTTTTCATCCCATTTTGGAAATAATTACATGTTTGGAAAATGTTGTGTTTTTCGTGCCAGCGTTGTACTTCATGTAGTACGAATAAAATGAAAAAAGTGAAATTTCCATACTCATGATGTTGTCTCCATTCTCTCCTCTTATCTCTCCTCCGCAGAGGCTTTTAGTATATATTTTTTCTGTAAACATCACAAATATATATTGTGCACAGTTGATCGAGGTTAGATTTATACAGGGTTCGTACATGTGAGCAGGGGCGTGGCGAACGATTCCAGATTGGGGGAGGGGGCGTCATACCATAATGACCAGCTGTTTCAATGGAAATGACCAACTTTTCCGACGTCCTTGAAAAAATTTTTTTCGGCGACCTCCCCCGTCAGTGTACCATTTTAGGGGTAAGAAAATTTTCCCGGACATATCCAAATTTTTCGCGACATAAAAATTTTTTCGGATATCACAAATTTTCTCCGTTTCTCAAAGAAATTTTTCTAAAATTCTAAAAATTTTTTGGATTTTCTAAAATTTTTGTAAATAATATAATATTTCCTACAAATATTTCCTTTAATATTTAAATAATTCCTTTGACCAAGAAAAAATTTTGACCAACATTTCAAAGTTCAGAATTATTGGGGGGGGAGGGGCGTCGCACCAACCCCCAACCCCCCCCCCCCAAGCCCCCCCCCAGTCGCCACGCCCCTGCATGTGAGGAAGAGTCAAATTCAAGGCCATGTATCAGCAAATTCAAGGACTAAATACCGATATTGTTCAAAACGCAACTTTAATTTTCGAACCGCTTTGTCAAACTGTGTGTTAAAAAAATTTCCCACACACTGAGCAAAACATTTTGGTAAATGTGACTCAAAAAACACTGGTTCACTAGCTGCGCTTTATAGTGCGTTACAAGATATGGCGGGAATGCGCGGGATCCAACTATATTATTACTTATTAAACTTTATTTTGCCGTGAGTTGTTTTGTTTGAAATGCCCTGAGTTAATTTCGTTTTGCCGTGGGTTAACTTTATTTTCCCGTGAGTTTATTTTGTTTTGCCGTTGCAATTAATTTTATTTTGCCGTGGCTCAGTTAATAGACTTAATACTTTCGCTGTGAGATACGAGGGTTACCAAAACTCTTCCGAGCTTGGTGGGATTAACGGATCACTTCAATTAGCCAATCAGATTAAGAGTTTTTTTTGGATCGTGATCTGATTGGTTAAAATGAAGGCGGACCAGAAAGTAGACGGGTACCTACAAAAAATAGCGAAATAGCTGGTATCCTGGCGTGAAACTTTACAATTACAACTTAAAATAGTTTAATTTAGGTTTTTAATCTTGTTTCTAAATTTGATATGACAAAAAAAGTAGTAAAGATACATTTTAAAATTTTTATAGGTTAGATAAAAAACACAAAACACACTGCTAACTTTGTTTACTTTGTTTGCTAACTTCGCAATTCAATTGATCGGTAAATTAATAGAAGATCTGTTTTTATATCGAATGGTGAATTAGAAATAATTTTTTTAAAAAGGAAAGTGCCTCATCAGTCCATACTTCCCGACTTTGCTAGCCCGTATCGGTCAAGTCCGTCTCGTGCTAGCCGCTAGAACGCCGTATGTTAACGTTTAAGCTAGATTTCGGCTAAACTCAACGCTATCGTCAGAGGCGGTGAATAGGTGGCTTACCAACCGGTATCGAACGAACTACGGGGGAGAGTGCCGGCGGCCCCCAGACCATTATGCCTGGCACCCTTTTCGCAAGATCCTATGATCGGTAACTACCACACACAAGTAATAGTAACATTTCGGTATATAAGTACGTTACAGTTGCCCGGTGTGGTGCATGTGGGACGCTATAGCTCGGTGTTTACCAAACCTTTGAAACGAACGCATGCGCGATAACCTGACACTCTGGTAGACGTAGCGCATGCGTGAGCCTCATCCAATCAGGACGCAGGAAAATATCGCGCCGGTCCCGCGAGTTCGAGACATGTGCGAGACGGCTCAAAAATTTCAAAAAATTATTTGTTTTCAAAACAAATTCAGATGAAAATATATATTATTCACATGTATTTGCTTATCGAAGGTTAAAATTTAAAGACTATGTTTATCTAAGACGATGAATCGACTGGAAAAGATGAAGACAAAGTGAAATCTACACCGTCAATTATTAGCAAGAGGTCGCGCCGCCGTTGGTAATTTCTAGTACTCAGTACTGACTGAAAGGTACAAAGCTTTCAGTATTTTCTACTTTTTTGACGATAGTTGATAAGAAAATATTCTTGTCTAAAGCTTGCTTCAATCGTCAAAAGAGGAAAGTTCTTAGTTTGGCTTTATTAGTATTTGTATTTATGAATCTTAATAGTTTACTAGTATTTGAATTTTTGCTGTGTCGGTGTATTGAGGGTCTTAATGGGGGTCTTTGGGTGTCAGTTGTCAGCTAAAATTTAAGCCATTTTTCAGGCCTGCCCGGTGTGGATATACGCTCAGAGTAACATCACAAGCATAGTATTTGAATTATTAACGTCCTTTAATAGCCTTGGATATAAAGTTTCTAACATCTTGCACATAGTGTATATTCTTGCATACAGAATATACACCTAGCTCTGTAAAGTATCAAACTTTGGCTATAAAGCCTAACGTCAATCACGAAAAGGATGGCCAAGGGATGTCAGTACTTTCCGGAACTGTAAATATATTGTCTTGAATTGTATGATTCAGCTAGGATATATGAAACGTTGGATAGTAATATACCATAAATCTCAGAATATAACCCTGCTCCCCCCGGTATCCCCTGTGTATAAGTCCACTATATTCACTAACACGCAGGCCACTCCGAATATAAGTCCCCCTGAATATAAGCGCCTCTGTGTCTAAGCCTGTTGGTTAATTAGCACAGCGACAGCGATTCCAACAGTTCAAACAAGTGACAATAATTAGATTTAGATTACAGTATTGTAATGTATAGATTATACACTGTACGTATATCAATCATTTAATTCATCACAGCCATGCATACCTGAAGTTTGCAATTGGTATGAAGTCAGACTGGCAACATGCCAGTATCCTATATATTTATATATACAGTACAACAACCTAAAAATTTATATATCCATGAGCTTGTGGTTAGAGCTTGACAACTGGCCTCTGTCGCTCAGTTGGTGGGAGCACTGCACTGGAATTGCAGGGCCACAAGTTCAATTCCTGCCAAGGACCTAAAGTTACATTTTTTGCAGCTGTTCTTGGTTAGGTCTAATAAAATGTATAAAAATTTCCACTCGATAATTTCCATCAACAACACGCTTCAGTCACAATCATTCAGCCAACCATTTAAGACTCTCTTTTCTCTTATTCAGAATATGTGTATCTAAAGGTGATGATGCAAGACATGGACAGAGGCCTTTGTTTGAAAATCATTTTGTTGCCGATATACCTGAGACGATTCATGTTGAGACGATGTCACTGTTGCCACTGTTCTTGCTTAATTAACCCAATCATAGCCAGCTCTCTCCCCTCTACGAGTAAAATTATCTGGCGTTAGACACAGTATTAAGCAGCTCAATGGGTTAAACCATTAAGTTGCATATTTGCACACCAATAAGGGCCTTAAAAATAGGTACACCAAGCATACATTCTGCTTGTGTTCCAAGATCTGGCTGATCCGCCATGTAAAGTGTAGTGAAATGTATCTCAATACTAATCGTAGTCATAACCATCAGAAGTCTCTGTTGAGGAGAGAGGTCTCCATTTATAATTGAAAATTTTCATCAAAATATGTCATTGCCTACTGCTTCACCATTTAGCCATTGTAAGAATTTAGCCATTGTAATAACTAAATAAACTTCAAAATTTGCTAAATAAAAGTGGAAGCTTCAATCTGGTTTCCTGATGGAAAAACGTGATGTTATGTTTAATATAGTGTATCTTCAATATGGCGGACGAAAATGAAGAAAATATCCAACAATTACGAGAAAAACTCGATCATACGACTTCGAAGCTTAACCAAATGAAACAATTATTAAGTGAGAAGGTGAGATACACCTTTTCTAATGTAAAAAGTAATATTTGGGTAGGATATTTTGGGTATTATATAGGATAGAATATCATAGAGGAGTGACACAAATATGGCTGTATGCATTGAAATGAATATAACTGGAACGCTACCTTCAGAGAATCTTTTTCTTGAAGCTTATAAACTCATGCGTATTTATATCATGATTGAGCATTCTTTGCATGTGTGAAAAGACTGGGACTGACCTTCAAGTTTGACTTCAAATTCTCGGTTGGAGGTAGCGTTCCAGTTATATTAATTTCAATGGGCTGTATGTATATTTTACAGTACCGCCTTCTGCATGCAGTACAATTATTATAGTGCTTAGTGAAGCCCATTTATTAACGTGACTCTGCTGTCCTTCCATAGGGAATATGCTTGGACGAACTTGATGATGGAATAAGCACTGACTCACAACCGATTGCCACGCCGAAAGAGAAGAAATTAAAACTAACCAATTCGGACATAATGCGATACAGTCGACAGCTCGTACTTCCAGAAATAGGTGTGCAGGGACAGTTGAAGCTGAATAACATGTCAGTGCTGATAGTTGGTGCTGGAGGTCTAGGGTGTCCTGTGGCAGTATACTTGACGGCAGCTGGGATTGGACACATCGGATTGGTGGATTATGATGACGTTGAACTGAACAATCTGCATCGACAAGTCTTACATTCGGAAATGAAAGTTAACTGGAGCAAAGTTCATTCTGCGAGAACAACATTGTCTCAATTAAATACTTCTGTACAAATTCTTGCGTACAAATTACATCTTAATAGTAGTAACGCACTTGAATTGATTTCAAAATATGACATTGTAGTTGACGCAACCGATAATGTGCCAACGAGGTATTTGTTAAACGATGCATGTGTCTTAACGAAGAAACCGTTGGTCTCTGGGAGCGCTCTACGTTTTGACGGACAGCTGACTGTATATAATTATGAAAATGGACCATGTTATAGATGTCTGTACCCCAGTCCCCCTCCTCCTGAGACAGTTGGAAATTGTTCTGAAAATGGGGTGCTTGGTGTTGGTATGTGTTAATATGCACTGAATTCCAAAAGTAACAAACTGAAAATGAGGGTAGTTGTCCCACCCAAGAAACAGTCAATAGTCCCCCCACCCCCAAAAACACAAGCAAAGCCCCCCAAATGTAGCATTACAGAATTATGCTCAGAAAAAGTTCTGTGGAAGTAAAACAATGGTGAAATATTCATTTTGCCTTTCAGGTGATTGGCAGTCATGCTTTTTCCTAGTTGAAAACCCTGCTTTTCTGCCTATCATGAACAATTGCCAGATTGTTGATCGATGATTGACTGTTATTTCAAGCCCTGGCCTTTTTGATGTTCCTTCCTGTTTTTCAACCACCTCACTACCCGAAAGTAGTACACCCCCAAACCCAGTAGTCCTACGAAAGTTAGGTAACAGAGGGCTGCTACTTTAGGAATTTCTAAGTTTCAATATATTTTTCTATTAGTTCCAGGTATAATTGGTAACTTACAAGCGTTGGAAGTTATAAAGATTGCAGTTGGTCTTCGTGGTATCCTTCAGCTACTGTACATTTATCTGAAATGCCTTGTTCTGAATATTTGAAATCCATCTGAGATGAATTCATCTTATATGAATGTCTACAATGATCTCTCTCTCTGCCTTATGACAGGGTTGAGTTCCACCGTCTACCACAAACGCACAACTCATGCACACTCAGAGTAACATCACAAACATCTTCTAATATTCTCTTCAACAGCTCCCCCATTTTCGTGCAACTATTTTTCACCAAGGTTTTAAATCCTGAATTCTATATGTTAATATTTCTCACCCCATATCCCGTGACTTCTTAAAATTGTAAATCCCACGTTCTTTCTTTCTTGCGTCCATTCTTTCTAAACCTGAAGCAACATAACTCCTTAACAATGTACTAAAGTGTCGTTTAATCAAAAACTGCTGCTTTTCGATGCGTTGGACAGTAAATTTACAACCATCAAACTCCGAGGAAAGCAGAAACACTGCGCAGTTTGTGGGGATGAACCAACGATAAACAAGTTGCAAGACTACGAGCAATTTTGTGGCGCAGCAGCATCTGATAAAGTAATATAACGTCATTTTTCAGTGGTAGTCGATGGGTTTTAGTAGCCGTTACGATGCCTCACGTCGTGATCAAATTCAGAAATTCTGTCAATCCTTATTTGCCACCAAATACTACAAGACATTTACTACCACAGTCCACATATAATGAAAACAATTAACATAATTTTCTCACTTTGATAACTGTGTGTTCACCATCATCTGTTGTGCGATATACGAGCACCAATTACGTACTAACATGCCAGGGTCGGTTGTACGAAGGCCTGATAGCGTTATCCACCCGATAGTGATTTTTCAACCGTTGCAAAAATGCCCGCTCATATCACCAAATCTACCTCTATTTCTTCCTTCCACAACAATCTGTATAATCTCACTACCTTTCCAAACTTGAATCTACCTTTGACGTCAATCGAATGCGCACTTGGAAGACTTATTATTCCAAGTGTTGTGCCTTCGTACAACCGCAGCCCCAGGGGTAAAGGGCTCAAGGCCGTACGCAGGATTTTTTCACCAGGGGGACAGTAAGACCTATATCCCAAATATCCAAAGAATAATTAATAATTACATTCTAAAAATCGTAAATATAGTTTTCTATGGGGGGCAGTTGCCCCTCCCCCTGCTGTTTACGGCCCTGAATTAAGGGCTTCACGATCCAATGTTTAATATAGCGAATGCAAGTTAAGTTTGTTCTTACTTTTTAGACTCAACATATCGATGTCTTGAATAGTACAGACAGGATTTCAGCGCAGGTATTCGAAATGATGGTATCAATTCTTGCTGTTTTTTAGCGCTGATATGGTTGGTGCCTGGACACCTGGGAAAGATGACAAACACTTCATGGAGGACGTTTCGTCAGATTTTTATTTTTAAAAAGTGGCTTCACTGGACCCCTTGACCCCATCTTTGATATATTTTAACGAAATAGACTAAGACTTGGTTTTTTAGGCTTACAAGAAATTGGTTGATGACAAAGTACCTCATATTTTGCTTGATGTTCGACCGAGTGTTGAGTTAGAGATATGTAAACTCTCGACTTCTGACAGCTTTCTGAGTATCCTTATTCCTTTGTAGCTATGTCATAGAGGTGCTTTTCACAAAGCACTATCGTGCTGCACTTTGGTGGTCAACTAGTACTAACTGGTAGTTATCGAAGCGAGAAAATAATGTTAGTTCTTTTCATCATATGTAGTAGTCTCTATTTGCAGGAAAATAAATGCAATTGGCTTTCTCCTATATTAATATGTGTCCCATGTTTGTTAAAACCCACCGATGTCTTATAAATTACGCGAACTGCTTGAAATCTTTTGTTACAGTATTCAATATCGTTTAAATTTCTTAACAAATTGTCAAACAGATATTCCCATCAGGGACTTAGAAAACAACAAGCACACTGCAAAAATTAAAGAAGATATCAGCACAATCTTAACGAAATTCAGTAACAAACATGAAACGGTACCAGGTATGAAAATAATTTTTGTAGGAGGGGGACATTGGGATTTACGGTATGGCGGTAGCTTATTTTTCTTACGGTATTTCGGTATTTTCCTTGAAAAATTGCGGTACTACGATATTGGAAATCTTGCGGTACACGGTATTTACAATTTGGACTCAAAAACTGCGGAAATTGACAAAATTTGCTTCCGGTATTACGGTATTGAATACCTCCCAATGCCCCCCTCTTGTAGACACGATACTTTATTTTATCACTTTTTTTCACTACCCGTGAAATGCTAGTGTCATGGCTCAAGTGTCCTATCATGATTCATTGAGCGGAACTAGTTCCAATATCTTTGGGAATCCGACTGTTCTCCATGCCACCTAGCTGACCGACTGTTTTAACTCCCGCTGCAAATGCTTATTTCACTCAGAGTAAATTAAATGTTATTCTTTTCCCGTAGTTATTGCAGTGTGCCACCTGGGGAACGACTCGCAAAGAGCAGTTGTACTTTTAAACAAAATCTTGCAAGATTCCGATGTTACAGTACAAGACATCACCGGAGGATTGGACGAATGGAGCAAAAACGTAGATCCTGGTTTTCCACGATATTGAAACAATAATACAATACCTTAAATATTTATTTACTATTGAATAATAGCATGTGCTTTGTAATATTTACAGTAGAGAATAAATTCCTCTCTTGAAATGTTTGTGTCTTAAAAAATTCATCGGCTTGAAAATACCATCATTCGAGGAATAAACCAATTAATCAACCTGATTTGATCGATTATTTTGCAACAAAAAATTGACAATTAGAACAATTAGTGCGTTAATTTTACACAACGTCACAAATAAACGCGCATTAAAAATTGAAAAATAAATAAAAATAACAAAAATGAAGATAAAATCATAAATTTTACCGTAATTAATCAGAAATGGAGCTGCTTTGTTTGGAGGACTTCCAGTCCTGGGCATGACAAGTGAGCATGACCTAACGTGATGTATGAATAAATTTCGCAATATAGTATTGTCGGTCAAAAGAACAATATTTGCATTGACAGGCAAGAAGATTGATTCAAAATTTGAGTCATGGCCAAAGCTTTTGGCATCGAGTGGGCACCTTTAAAGATTCCGGTTAGAAGACGCCGTCAGACGTTCGCAGTATGGCTGGTTTCAACACTCTTTCTGTTTGGCCACGCTCCTTGTTTAATCCTATGCCTTCTGATGTTGTACTTTAACATATACACTCGAGTGTTTGTGCTGCTTTATCTCGGCTGGGCTTTTATTATCGACAAGAATACACCACACAGAGGCGGTCGATTACTCCCCTTTGCACGACGGCTTGGAATTTGGAAACATTATGTGGAATTCTTTCCTTTAAACTTGATAAAAACCCACGATTTGGACCCGTCGAAAAACTATTTATTTGGCTGTCATCCTCACGGAGTAATGGGCTTTGGCACATCTGGAAATTTTGCTACAGAAGCGACAGGCTTTTCCAAACTTTTCCCTGGTGTAATAACACACCTCTTAACGCTAAATATTCAATTTAGGATCCCAATAATTAGAGAATTGTTAATGGCTATGGGTATTTGTTCGGCATCAAAAGAAAGTTTGAATCATATTTTGACCCAGATGGGTCCAGGTCATTCCTGTGTTGTTGTTGTTGGAGGGGCGGCTGAAGCGCTCGAGGCAAGGCCAGGGAATTTTAAATTGGTGTTAAAGAATAGAAAGGGTTTTGTTAAACTGGCATTAAAATCAGGGTGAGTTTTGTAATTGTTTGAGGTCAAATTTTAAGTGTTGAAGTTAATTATTAATAGCATTCACTTCTCAGCTCACTTTCATCATGTCTGATCAGAGACTAGTAGAGCCCTAGTGGGACAACTTCACCACTAGTACAATTTTCCTTATTAAGTACCTGTGTGCAAGGCTGTAGTGACAGTGCACTATGACAATTCAGTATCACACAGGATTAAATGCCCTGGCCCCTGGTGTAAATTTGCTGTTTAACCATTGTGTCCCAAGGCTTTATTTTACTTTGTCTATTGCCAGACAATTTTACAAGTGTGTGTTAATCTGATATAAATATGATATTTAGAGCTTCACTGGTGCCAGTGTTTTGCTTTGGTGAAAATGATCTCTTCAAGCAATATCCCAACCCAGAAGGTTCGTACCTGAGAAAGCTCCAGACCAAAGTCAAGGACATTGCCACATTCTCTCCACCATTGTTCTATGGCCGAGGCATATTTCAGTACACCTTTGGTTTTGTTCCATTTCGGAATCCTGTAGAGGCAGTTGGTGAGTTCAATAATCTTGTGAAAATGGGACAAAGGTCTTGAAATATTAAATGTACCATTGTTTCTACCTACCACCATATATTTATACTACCAATGTCTACCATGAATTGAAACCACGCATGATTACCAACCCTCATAGCACCACCACTATATTACAACTATCACCATCATTACTACCACAGTACCACCACCATCATCACCACTATCGCTACCACCATCATCACCACCACCTACTATTACCATTAAATTCTATTTCCTTTTCAGTTGGAAAAGCAATCCATGCTGATGCAATTCCAGAGCCAAGTATTGAAGAAGTAGATAACTTACACAAGCTCTACCTAGAGGGTCTCAAAGATATCTTTGAAACGTACAAAACGAAATTTGGAATTGCTGAGGATCAACACTTAGAATTCATTTGAAAATGTCAAATACACTGGAATAGGAATAAAATAATGTTTTAATTAGAGAGCAAGAAAAGCAAACTGAATCAAGACAGAATATAACGGAGCATTTCCAAGTTAGCGCTCCAAATTCAGATCAAATATGTACGTTTCTGATTTTATTATTTATAAATTTTAATTAAATTACTGGTCGTAGTATATAATTTTTAAAAGCAAATTCTTTCCAATGCTCTACTATCAAGAAGGGGTGGAAAAAATTGGCGAGCACGCGACTGCAGGAAATTTGTTCGAAGATTTGCTGTTGAAAATTTGAAGGCAACCTTAACACCCATGTCCCACTATGGGCGCATTATTTCTTGAATTTAAAAACATGGTCAGATTTAGCACAAAAATACTCTGTTGGTCTGCAGGAAATTTTTGTCTCCAGGTTTTGCTCCCAAGAAGAAAATTCTTTTTCCCTGCCCTGTCTCTATGAATGGCGAGGTCGAGAGAATGGCGAGGTCGAGAGAACGGCGAGGACCTCGCCATTCATAGAGACAGGGCAGGGAAAAATAATTTTCTTCTTGGGAGCAAAACCTGGAGACAAACCGCGAGGTGTAAGTGAATTTTGCTTAGTTTATATGCCGAGTCATTTCAACAAGTAACTAAATATTTCTTTTCCCAAAATTCACTCAAATATTTTTCTTTTCTTCCTATCCAAATTCATGTTTTACCGACTACGAAAACAATATTTGCCGACCGGGATTCAATATTTGGCTGCCCCCGCGCGAGTCTGGTAGAAACGCAGGCAACTTGAGTGCCGCCCCTGAGTCTGGTAGAAACGCAAGCAACCGTATCTTCCTTGGCTTGTAGGTATTTTCTCTGCTATTGGCCCGTTCTATACCCTGTGAAAGAGATGTTAATAAGACGAGGCCACTAATTAGATGAGAATAAATCGAACGGTCTATGTGGCTATTGTAAAAAAAGTGCAGATTGAAAGGATTCAACTACCTGAAAAATACTAAAATAGTGAAAGTTTTAAATCGTAAAAATCTCACAACTTGTCAACAAGATGTGTTCTCAATAAGCTTGTACCAAGCTTGTCAACAAGTTGTAACAATGCTGTTATTTTATCGCTACAAGGTTGTCACTCATAACTTGTTGACAAATTGTTCAATTGCAGGATGATGACAAGTTGTTTGAACAACTTGTAACAAGTTTGTTGAGCTCAACAACATTGTAGCGTTAAGTTGTGAACAAGCCGTTGACAACTTGTCAACAAGCTGGGAACAAGCAGTGCGAACACATCCTGTTGACACGTTGTTGGAACAACATTGCTACAAGTCTGCTGCAGGTTTGTTACAACTTGTGCGTTTTTACTTGTGTAGTCGAATCCCTCTCAAACCTCTGCTTTCTGAATAAATAAAATAGACTCAAAGACAATTAGTTACTAGTATTATTTATGAAATTGTGTAAAATTTACATTCTGTGCATAATATCAGTATACGAGGAATTATAATACAATAAAAAATGACATTATATCCTATAGTATTATGTATCTTGAAATTCATTCTATTTTAATAATAATACTTTCCAATAGTGCACTTCATCTCTCCTGTATTGCTTCTAATTAGAACTTTATAATAATTGTTACAATATTTTTTGCAAGGCATAATATCTTGGAGCCAATAGCTTTTTGAAATCCAGGATCAGGCGTGACACTTCATCGTTTTGTGTTGCGGTATTAAAATTATTTAAATAACACAAGGATAGCATGATTGCAAAATTTTGCTTGAAATGTTTTGTTTATTTGGATTGAAATTCATTGAGATTTTAGTGACGTTTGGATGAGGTTTTGCAACTTTGTGTGCAAGTAACAGCGCGCTCTCTTTTGGACCTTTTTGAATGCCAAGCGACTTTGAAAATATGCTTACCATGACGGAAAACATTGCTTCATACGTGTGTGTCCAATTCAACCTCCAACATTCACTTGAGTTTGAAATATTTTGCGTTATACATAGCTAATAGCGGTCGCGAGTTTGCCTTTGGACGGAGACTGGGTCCCAGTGACTGAATTTTGGTAAAGATTGTTAGGTCTAGTGCTGTTCAGTTGACCAGCGGCTTCAAGTCGCAAGCGATGCGCCTCCATACGTTCGTCGTCACTCTCGTGAGTCAGATATCGTTCACCCACGATCGCTTCAAGACTACGCAAGTCTAGCCACGTTTGATATTCCTAGTTGAGAATGGAATAGAGTGATCAAATGCTTGCTGTGCTGCTGGGTTTGTAAAGGCCCGTTTACACTTGTGAGATTTTCTGCTTCTGATGGATGTGAACGAGTGGATGAGTTATGTTCTCACGAGAGAACATTCATAGCTCATCTACTCATTCACATGCATCAGAAGAAGAAAATTGCACAAGACATCGCAGAACGAGAAATGGAAAATGAAACGGGTGAACAGATGAATACTCTACCAACTAAGCTATCCTCGTCGAAAAGATAAAGCTAGCATACATTATGTTAGAAAAAGATCATAAACATGCAAGTTCTGTGCATCACAAGCTGGGTAATTCGTTATAAATGTACAATTACAAACCTGTAGCCAGTGATGACCAAGTGATTTGTCACACGACAGTCGATAGCGTTTGTCCACTTGCAACAGTCGGTTAATAAGATCGATGCCTTCCTTGGACACCTCCTGCCAGGGATCAGGAGGGTACATGAATGCTGCATTTTTAATTTGATCTGCAATTTCTTCCTCCTCGTTGAATGGAAATGTTCCACTGAGACTACAGTACAACACGAAAATAATTTGTTAGTGTCAGTACATTCCTATAATTATGCACACCAAGTAAACTGAGCAGCTCAATCAGTTTTAAACTGTTCTCCTTAGAAGTTCAGTAAAGATCATCACTTTTTGGTCCAGTGTTACTACAGGAGAAACCTAAACAAAACTTATTTATACGAGATAGCTCAGTCAGTTCCAAACTGTTTTCCATGGTCGTACCGGAAGGAAAAATTTAGGGGGGCGGAAAGAAATTTGCCCGACTTTTTCGGATTGTGCCCGACCAGTGCCGAATTTTTTTTTTCCGGAACAGATTAATTTTGGCGACCTCCCCCCTTGACAAAATTTGTCCCATTTTTTTTATAATAAGCCAATATTGCCCGACTGTGGAGCGAATATTGCTCGACCGGCTTTGTTTGCCCAACAAACTGGGTGGGCTGCCGCCCCCCCCGCCCAGTACGCCCATGCTGTTTTCCCTTGTAGAGGTCCAGGAGGAAACTGCGCTGTTTGGAAGAGCCAAACTACAATTTTTGACAAGGTCACAAGTGTAACAAGAAATACGTATACGGTTTTGGCAAACAAAAGGCGACTTTGCCGTAAAATGTTTCACATCATTCCGTGCACAGGAGCAACAAAATTTGTGAAAGGAAAACTTGTTGACCGTATGTACACACGAGAAAGTAAACTTGTCAAAGGAAATTTGCCAAGCAAATCTGTCAAGGAAAACTTGTTGACCGTACACACGAGAAAGTAAACTTGTCAGAGGAAACTTGCTCGTCTGTACGAGTTTTAAGTAGTAAGACATGAAATGTTATGTTAACCTGATGCCATACCTTACATAAATAATAACGCCGACTGACCACATATCAATAGATCTATTATACCCTCTATTACGTAACACTTCCGGTGCGAGATAGGCAGGTGTACCAACCACTGAACGACGGAACGATTTCTCGCCAATAATCCGAGCAAAACCAAAATCACAGAGCTTAATCTGAAACATGGAAAGTGGATTATGAGCCAATATGAGGCATGCGCAACACATTTTATTACTCGTGGTAACAGACCCCTCCGCGTGAGATCTGCAACTAGATCAGTCTAAGAAAAAACTCGGAGAGCCACGTCTACGCTTCAGGTAAGTCTACCCCCTGGGGAAACTTCATTTGTTCTTCATTCTTGACATATATTTACACATGAGAAGGTTGATCCGTTTCGAGAAACGTGGGCAAAGAAAGGATAGTTGGTTTGATAACTCATCTGTTTCTATGCGGCACAGACGACACCGTCAGTCAAGACGAAAATCTGCTAGTCTCCCTCCCAGCCGCTCTTTGTGTCGAAACCTCGACACAAATGTCGAAACCTCGACACAAAGAACGACTGCAAGGAAGACTAAAGATCTGCCTAAATTCTCTATGCGGACAAACTTGCGAAGTTCGTCTTGATGGACTATGTTTGTATACATACGACTCAGACAAACTATCGGGAAATTATCGGACATTTGTTCCCAACACCATTGCTAGCACAGGCACGGGATTTCAGCTTCTTCGTCTTACCACCCGCATTTAAGGAAGGAAAATACGGCCTGATCCTCAGGCTACTTCGTCTGGATAATCCAATTTGTGGTTACACTAAAATAGCATTGACAATCCGATTAAGCGCATTCTTTCTCACCTGAGGAAAACCACAATCAGAACAATTCGATGATAGTAATACGTTTTCCGGTTTCAAATCACAATGAACGATGTTTCTCGAGTGAAGATGTTTCAAAGCTATTAAAATCTGAAAGGAACGAACGTTAAAGAATTTTATAACTTTTCGTAACATAAAACAATAACCGACAAAGGACCGAAATCACTTCTAAATACTGTATATAAAACGTTTTTACAATTAAAGTTTTTCTTACGTTAAACTTTCTAACACAATATTGATATTTTAGGCTCTTTGCAATGTGTCAGAATGAACCGCCGATACGAAAAGCACACCTCAATATTAGTAAAAATGCAAAGTTAAGCTTCTTATATGCAATATAGAAGAAATGAGACTCAATTTAAATTATAAAATGTTCTTATTTCCTAATATTGAGGTGCTCGTTTCATTTCTGGGGTTCATTTTGGAACAGCTGTTCGTTGTAAGGGGCATAGGATCACATGACCAATTCATGCAATGAACCTATTACTGTAATAGACATATACAGTACCTGGAATATTAAGAATTTTGTGCATCTTTCGGTTAATCGTCCTTTAGTACTTGATAATATTAGCTCCAACATGTCACCTTTTAATTTTTCCATCACCACAAAAATCTTAAAATAAATAATATAATAACTGCATGAATCTATAGAATTCACCACAAACAAACTAAATATTGAAAATTTTACCTTTTCGGGAGTTTCAAAGAAGTGGTATAGGTTTACTACCCCTTGATGGTGTAAATCCTGTAGACACAAAAGAAAATAATTTTACATTTACATGTCAAGCTGAGGCTGGCTAGAGGACAGCGTTATCTACCAGATATTGATTTTTCAAACTTTCTAAAATTGTTCGTTTATTTTTGTAACCTGTGTCAAACATCAGTATTTATAAATTAAACGTTCTTTTTATTGTGAGATGATCCAGAGGTGGAAAAAATAGGCGAGCACGCGAGCACTGCTCGCAGGAAATGTTAAACAGCTGCAGGAAATTCGTTTGAATGAAGATTTGCTATTGAAAATTTGAAGGAAACCTTAACACCCATGTCTCACTACGGGCGCAACAACATATGGTTGACAGACATTATTCCTTGAATTTAAAACCATGGTCAGCTAGAACACTATATGTTTATGCACATGCAGATTTCGCACAAAAATACTCTGTTGGTCTGCAGAAAATTTTTGTCTTCAACGTGTGCTCCCAGGAAGAAAATTCTTTTTTCTTGCCCAGTGAGATCCATAACTTACCTGGTGGGTTTCTGCACTTCGTACAACCGACCCTTGGATACTAGCTATAGCTTGATGGCAAGTAGTGAACCTAAAAACAGAAACTGTACACTACCTGCAATATTGATACTTCGTTCTTCAACTGCGTTGCCTGTTTTGTTGGAAACCTTAACTTGTCGACAATTTTGACGGCAACTTCTTTGCCAGTTTCCCGGTGCACGCCTAGAAAGGTTTAGGATTTAACGTTTGATGGGAAACTATTTGTAAAAATCGATGTTTCCACGAAAATTTCCCCGAACATTCCCCCTTACCTCCATACACAATTCCAAACTGTCCTGAACCCAAAATTTCGTCAGGGAATACTTGATAAAGTTGAGACAAATCCTAAGCAAAATAAATCATATAATTAAACAAGATTTAGGGTTTCCAGAATAGCCAAACTAATCGAATTTGGACATACGAATTCACAAGAGCTCATGATTTTTTTCAACCTTGTTCCCAGGCTCTCCCCTCTTCTTCCCTTAAACCCCACAGCAGAGAGGCTCTGGGAACGAGGATGTTAATCCACAAGAAGGCAGAGCCTGGGAACGAGGTTGGATTATTCTCTGAACACAATCAAACACACCTGTTTGGGTTTTGGTTCCGGTTTCTTCTCGTTGATACTGTTTTGTTTTTCGTCACCTTTCTCTGTTTGCCCAGGATTGAAGAAAGTAAAAAGATATATAGTTATATACAGTAGTATATATAGTTATATACAGTAGTATATATAGTTATATACAGTAGTATATATAGTTATATACAGTAGTATATATAGTTATATACAGTAGTATATATAGTTATATACAGTAGTATATATAGTTATATACAGTAGTATATATAGTTATATACAGTAGTATATATAGTTATATATAGTTATATACAGTAGTATATATAGTTACATACAGTTAACAGTAGTATATATAGTTATATATAGTTATATATAGTAGTATATATAGTTATATACAGTAGTACATATAGTTATATACAGTAGTACATATAGTTATATACAGTAGTACATATAGTTATATACAGTAGTACATATAGTTATATACAGTAGTACATATAGTTATATACAGTAGTACATATAGTTATAGGGGGTATTCATGGTGGCACACTAGTTAGTGTATATACCATGTGTTGCCAGGGTGATATTTCTACAAAATTCCACAATATGCAGTTGTGTGATTATAATTTCCCCTCAGTCGCAAAGGTTTTCTCGGGGTCGGTTTCCTCCTCCAGTAACATGCGTAAGGGGGTGACCCCTAAGAGCAATTTTGATTAACTCTGCCAGAAAAATTGCCTGTCACGGCTTGAAATGCTAGCGTACTATACGAGACGTGAAAATATACATTTTGTCGTTGTCAACAGAGCTTGGACGACGTCTAAAACCCCTGTTAGACTTTTAATTATTCATTTCTTTTCTGCTATAAGATTAACGTCAATGTATTGATAGCCGTCGTCCACACGTCGCCGTCGTCTATGCGTAAACCCCTAATGTCTGACATGCGACGTCATTATGGCATATGAGCCGTCGTCCACACGTCGCCGTCGTCTATGCGTTAACCCCCTAATGTCTGACATATGACGTCATTATGGCATATGAGCCGTCGTCCACACGTCGCCGTCGTCTATGCGTAAACCTCCTAATGTCTGACATATGACGTCATTATGGCATATGAGCCGTCGTCCACACGTCGCCGTCTTACATGCATAAACTCCCTAACGTCTGACACACAACGTCATTATGGTATATTGTCTGACGTCATAATGACGTCATATTTGTCACCATAACATACATGACATCATCATGAGACAATTTCACTAGCTGTATGCAGGTACCTACCTGCTGATTTTGGGCCTGCCATGCTACTTGTTTGCGGAGTCACGCAGCCTGGATTCAAAGCACATTTGATAGCCTCGGCCCAGGCCGAACCCAACCTTGTACCTATCCCAGCGTCCCTATCGACCGGATCAGGATTCTGTAGATTATCTACTTGGCCAACGTAATATATGTTTGTTCTAGTCTTCATTTCAAAGCAATGAGGTTCCCTCGTCGCATCTGTAGCTAGAGGGTCGATGTTTGTCTCTACCGACAGAACTTCTGATAATGGAATATCCTGAAACAGAACAAATAATAACGGTTACTCGCTTCAAATATAAGATAAAACATCCCGACTGTTTCTCTATACAGCGAGGAAATTTATAAACCTTTTTTTACAACTTGCAACCGCTTACGACTAAGGCATGACACCTGATATATCATGGGTTCGATTCTGTCGTTGCCCACTCACCGAAAGTCGTGGGTTTTCTCTACGTACTCTGGTTTCCTCCCACAGGGAAAGTTGACAGGGTGGGTTTGGATAAACAAGATTAGAAAGTACTTATATCACAATTAGGGTAAAAGGTATAAAGTATGTAATTAGGTAAGTGTAATTCTTGATGTAAAGGGCATTTGATCATATCTACATGTTAATTTGCGTTATCGAATCTTAATCATGACTTGCAATAATTGCTTGCTCTGAACAAAATTTGTCTGACTTTCATATAGCAATATAGCATGTAAGTGGACTACACAATAAGTTGCGAAAGAGTTTACTACAAACTTGGCTACTTTACAAGATTGCTTTGTAGGTCACTTAATGTTATTTGCTAAACCTAACACTTAGTAACTAAGTTAAAAATTGACATTTTCAATGTTACAGAACAGAAAACGTTCCTGATACTGTAACAAATGTAGTAAACACAGGAACACAGCCTAACTCCATTCCTTGTTTTTAATACCTTTTACAATGAACAATAGAGTAACGATATGAACCACAACATAGTCGAATTTTATACACCACTATATACAACAGTTTTGATGTACGGTGAACGCTTGACAAAGAAAAATCCCCGTTCATTGATATTCTGATTTGCTATACTGATCATCAATCCCCATTAGTCATCAACAGATTTTACCGAACAACCAAAAATTCGTTAATTGTATCCAAAATCCTAATATATCTCAAAAACAAAACACTCGTCAGAAGCGGCAAACAACACGGCGATTGCCAAAAGACACAAAAATTGGCAAGCACATTAGCTTAAGAATTCATCTGCCATTCGGTAGCAACAAAAGTCGCGTTCGTTACCCGTGTTGCCACCCTGAGAATTCCTGGATTGAGCATTTTTATTCATTGATATTGGACACTATATTTTTAAACATAAAGGCCACCCGACAAGTAAACACTTGTAATTTCATGTTGCTAAAGAAAAACTGAAATAAATATTTTGAGTTTGCAAGCCAAGAGACTAATATGCTATGTCGTGATTGAAAATAGTTTGGCAACAGAAATATTGTTTATGAAACCACGTTCATTTGTTTGAATTTTTTGTTATACAAGCTGTCGCCGAGCAAGAAACTTTCTGAAAGACTTGCCCTTTTTCCTAACTCTTAAAATCAACCCTGGAGAAAAAACTCGAGTCCAAAAAGTGAAGGGCAATATGGCGGGAATTGAAGAGCTATTATTAGACGTCAGTTCGAGCCCCTTGCTATTGTTCTTGTCTGCGCGCGCTTGACACGAAGCTCTGCTGGCACTATGGTTTCAACCGTTTCATAAACTGATAGCTTGTTTCGCGATACGGTCAGGTCTGTTAGAAAAACTGTTTATGACCTTCATAGCTATTGAGGGGCCTGTACCGGATTCCGAAATCCCGCCATCCCGACCGATTTTCACTTAAAATCCCGTTATCCCGCCATGCCTCATCCCAATTTCCCGCTCCCGACTTTTTTTCTAACACTGTTCAACGTTTTATGATTTAAAGAACATGGTAACGACATAAAATACAATTTGAATACACTAGAATACAATACAACAAGGTTTAAAATAATAAATGACTCTAAATCGCGACTCTTATGAAAGCAGCAATCATATATATGTAAATGGGGGATTGATGGCGGTCAAATGTTCGATATCATCCTTGAAAACGGTAATTTCGAGCACACAAACAAATGACAACAAATCAGCTAACGTACAGCTACAAGTTTTGTTGATTTATTCCGCTAATCGTGGGTTACTTCCCGCGTATCGCCATGGTATTTTTATTAATCCCACTTCCCGCGATGGATAAAATCCCGCTTCCCGCCAATATTTCTCTTAAAATCCCGAATCCCACTTGAATTTTAGACGCATCCCGCCAAACTGGTACAGGCCCCTCAGCTATTGGACGTCAATGGACGCCATCTTGGCTTCACTTTCTCACAGGGTCAATGACCGATGTTCATGCTCCAGATATATATATATATAGAGAGAGAGCTCAGTGGATCTGACAAGGGCCGTATAGTGTTATCCTAGTATATCCTCATTTAAGATGCTTCCGCCGAAATGCAGTTGCCTCACCTTTTGACCCTTTCCTTCTATTTTTCAAAACAAAATTCCTTTATCTATGAAAGACTTCCCCTCAATAAAATCGTCTGGAATAAGCCAATATATAGTTACCTTATAATAATTCTTGCCCGTAGAACTTTGGAATAATGTTATACACTTGGTGTCTAGTCTCCAGTAATGTTTTCGTCTCTAAAAAAGGTTAAAGTTTAAAGAAAAATTTAAAATTACAACACTTTTAGCACGTCAGTTCTAAACTGGTCTCTCTAGAAATCCAGTACGGGTCATCTCTTATTGATCCACTGTTACTACAGGGGGAATCTTTAGAGAAAAATTTAAAATTACAACGCTACAGCACGTCAGTTCTAAACTCTTCTCTCTAGAAATCCAGTGCGGGTTATCTATTGTTGGCCCATTGTTACCACTGGACGTATTTTACACTAAACTAACTTTATTTATACTGGACAATTCTATCTGTTCTAAAATGGTCTTTCTAGAGATCCAGTGACGGTCATCTCTTATTGATCCATTGTTTAATACTACAGGATGTATTTTACACTAAACTCATTTTATTTATACTGGATAATTCTATCTGTTCTACAGTAAACTGTTCACTCTAGAAATCCAGTGGCAGTGACGGTCATCTGATCTCTTAATTGATCCACTGTTACTACAGGATCTATTTTACACTGAACTAACTTTATTTATAATTATACTGGATAATTCTATCTGTTCTAAACTGGTCTCTCTAGAGATCGGTGAGAGTCATCTCTTATTGATCCATTGTTACTACAGGGGGAATCTTTAGAGAAAAATTTAAAATTACAACACTACACCACGTCAGTTCTAAACTGTTCTCTCTATAGAAATCCAGTACGGATCATCTTTTGGTGATCCACTGTTACCACTGGAGGTATTTTACTCTAAACTAACTTTGTTTATAATTCTACCTGTTCTAAATTGTTCTCTCCTGATCCTAGAGGTTTAAGTATGGAGCATCGCTAATATTTTCTAGAAAAATCCTGTGGTGCTTGGTAGAGCGAAACTGGAAGCACTCGTCTCACATGTGAATGAGGTGAAATTATAATCAGACCACTGAATGAAGCAGACTATCAAAGCCATGCACGGTGCCAGCAACACTCCGACATTGTTTTGCAAACAAAACAACTAGCACAATATAAAGACATACATTATTGTCTTTGTCGGTAAAATGGACCATCCATCCTTGTTTCAAAACTTTCGAAGCTCGTTTCTTTGTATGTTTGACAGATACAACAATTCTCTGCAGCGGGATGTTTGAACTTTCAGTCGCTTCAAGTTTTGGAGGTTTCGGTTCGACTATGAAATAAGATCAACAACTATTACAAACACGTTCATTTGTCAATGTTTCTACAGTAAGCCCCACCCAGACAAGAATTTTTCCTCAGACAAGTTCTATTTCCTTGTGTGTACAGTACTACAAAGAAAAACAAGTTTTCCTTTGACTGGCCGTTTTGTGCAAAAAGAATCATTCTAATTTTTTAACATGAAAAATTACTGTATTCCCTTGTTTGTGTGCGCAAAGTCTGTCAAGAACTTTCTCGTCTATATACTTCAAACAAAGAGACTTGTCACGGAATATTTGTTAAAGTAGGATTTCATTTTTTCTCTTGTCTTAGCCTTCAAAGTTCAATTGTTATTAAATAAATAAATGTAATTTTTGTCCTAAACACGGAAATCAATACAATGATTAAACTAACGTACCAAATACATTGCAAAACCTACCAATGCCAATGTTGACCATATCCGTACATGCGAGTGAGTCAACTTGCCAAGTCTGAAAACTTGTTTATACGTACTTAAAACATTACTCACTAAATTCCACTCATGCCATACTTTAAATACCATGCCATAATACGAGGGCTATTTATAAAGCAGGGTTGAAATTTTAAATCCAATGGGATATTAACAACTCGAAATCTGGTATCTACCCAGACAATCTACATCATCCTATACACATGCTAGAAAGTTGTATCCAAGCACTGAAAGAAGGCAAAATGAGTTTTCAATTAGCCTTTCTCACGCCGCCATTTTTGGGGGTACTTTTTTGCCAATCCTGCGAGCGTTAAACACCACGTAACGGCGACATTTTATAATTTTGTGGGTGTATGATGGTAAATTTACTCTGTAAATAGTTAGTTTGTTCTGAAATATTGCTTTTTACATTGTTATAATCGTTTACGAAAAATTACAGTACTCCAAAAATGGCGGCGTGAGAAAGGCTATATTTTCAATTATTCATTTCACTTCAATTCTTTGAGCATGCCTAAATTCTCAATCAAACTTAGTCCCCTTTGTTTCATTGTTAATAGCATTACACTCATAGATGGATTTTCAGATTTTGCTCCGGG